CGGAAACATGTATTATAACTCGAGGGGTACCTCAAGGATCTATTCTTGGGCCGGCATTATTTAACATATATATTAATGACCTGCCCAATGTGCCAAAAGAGTCCTCTTTGGAATCTTATGTGGATGATTCGAAAATCTATCTGGCATTCCAATTCAGGATATTGAAACTGCTGCGTTTAAACTTACACAAGATATGGAAAGAATTACCGCATGGTGCTGTATAAATAGTCTGCTAGTGAATCCAAAGAAAACGAAACTTCTATTACTGGGTACAAGTCAAATGCTGAAAAAACTTTCTGGCACAGATTTCCATCTCTGGATTTCCATATAACTGTTCTTGGTGAGAAAATAATCCCACTTCAGACGGTTAAAGATTTGGGATTGACTTTGGATTCAAGTTTGACTTACGACAAACATATTGTCGATACCGTCTCAAAATGTATCACAGAATTATGCCAAATCAACAGAGTTAAGCATATTTTTGACAAACACACTTTATCCCTTATTATAAATGCATTGGTCTTCAGCAAAATGTACTACTGCTCCTCCGTTTGGTCGAACACCTCGAAAAAGAACATATCAAAACTCCAAAGTGTGCAAAACTTCGCGGCACGTGTTATTACTGGAATTAGAAAATATGCCCATGTGACGCCTATCCTTCAGCAGTTAGCTTGGCTTCCAGTTGAGTGTATGTTAAAACTCAGGGATGCGGTTATGACATTTAAGTGCATGAAAGGGTTAGCTCCGCCATACTTGTGTGACAAATTCGAAATGAGATCAAAGACTCACAGTGTTAACACCAGAAATAAGGATAAATTAGACATTCCACTGTATAATTCGGCTTCTGGATAGCGAACGTTTCATTATCGCGCAGTGTCTATTTGGAATGAGCTCCCAAATCATATTAAAGACATTGACACTTTGGACCGGTTTAAACTAGAATATAAACGTCATTTATTGCATGGATTTTTAGAAAATAGTTAATAGTTTTAGACAATTTGGGCTAGTTTAAATTAGCATATAAACGTTTTTACTATATGGGTTTTATTAGGAATTAATGTACCAATTCGTTAAGCAAATATTCTAGGACAATTAAGAAAACAACTATGACACACAATGTTGTGGGAGAAGGGTTGTCGAGGAGAAATGCTCCGATTATACTTTAAACTGTGGCCAAAGTGTCGCCCCACAGACTCACTATTACAGCAATATGATTATGATATAATTATATGTCCTCAGGGGGTTGTGGTTCCCCCATGTTGGACTTTACCCAAGGGGTAGTAGATCCCTGAGATGGGCATCTCGAACTCATTAATAATTCATGAGCAAATTAGCGAATGAACTCACCCTAATTCGTCACATGATTGAGGTTGGATACCGCAAGGAAACACGCTAAAAATCATATACCATCACTGTTGTTAGATGAAAAACGGTTTTCATCTAATAACTGAGATCCTAATTACAAATTCAAGTCAAAACACAACAATATACTATAATATATATAAGCCAATGAAATGTTTTCGTTTGAGATGTTGTGTAAACAACTCGTTTCTCGTGTTTCATCAGGGGACCAAACACTCGAAAACAATAAAACACTCGCGCTCGTGTTTCATACAGTTTTCTCGTGTTTGGATCCCCTGATGAAACACTCAAACTCGTTGTTTACATATAACATCTTAAATGTCCAAGGGGTAGTAGATCCCCGTGATGGTCATTGTTTACTTTAATGTCCAAGGGGTAGTAGATCCCCGTGATGGTCATTGTTTACTTTACAATACACTGTATAATACATTGATTTGTGTGAGTCTATGGGGTTGAGGGTGACCTTTGGGAGCACTCCATCCCCACAAATACACAGCATGTGTATTCCCCATAGACGAAAAAACCCAACTCCCACCACAACTGTAATCGTATAGAAGACAGATGATCTTTGTGCTTTTCGAAGTCATGTCGTCTATATTTGTCTTTCGACACACTTTAAATAATTAATTGATTAAAATCATGTTATATGCAAATAGAATTTTATTTTTTTTTAAACTACAAGTTGATCGTAAGACATATATTTGAGCATTACCATCACTCATACTACAGCTGGAACATCAGGGAGGCCAGGAAAAACCTGCAATATCTTTACAGGAAACTTGGATGGGGCCAAGACAACCAGCAGCTTCCCCACAAAGCTTCTATCTTACAGGTGCTTGATTGGAGGGTTGGTAACACGACAAATAAAGCTCACTATCATATTTTTTTTATTTATTTATTTATTTATTATTTTTTTTGTTTTTTTTTTTTTCCTTACGATTTATTTATTTTTAATGTTAATGTGTTCGATAGCAATTTTGCAACATGTATTTGTTAACCCCACTTATTTTATTTGAATTATGATTGGCGGAACTTGACATAATATAATTCTCGAATTATATGACTTTAATCTCAGGAAAAATAGCTTGTTCAATATTTTAAAATAGCAGGATCGAAATGCAATTCAGGTGTTTATAACCACAGTGTTGTGATTGAACTGTTTGAACATGCAATCATGCATGTATGAGAGTAGCAGAAATTGTAAGAATATGTATTTGGTAGACTAAAAAGATCATGCAGTATAGTGATAAGACATTAATGAATTTTCATGAGTAACAAATCTTTCATGACATATCCAACTTGCCGATTTATCGCAAATGTAGATAAAGTAGATCCTAAATTTCTCTCACACATGAACTTGATTTCCTATGTTGTGCCCAGTAAGGTATTGATAATGTATACGGGTCAAATTAGTGTTTGTTTTATTAAAGAGTGCCCTGAAATAGCTAGAAAGGAAGTTTTATATAATCTACTTTTTAATGATTGAATACAGTTTAATGTGACGCTTTATTGAAACCCGATCCCCGAATCAGAGGCCCAATCTGGCCGGTTAATTAATAACCTCAAGATGGTAATAAAATTGACATTGAAATCGAAATTGAAATACAGATCGATTTAGCGTGAATAATCGATACATTTGGCGTTCGATAATTACTATTCCCGAATTCTGTGATAAAATAGATGAAGTTAAAGCATTTTCGGGTTGGTTTGAAAAGCGAAATACGAAGCAAACATGTGAATTCACCGCATACTTACGCATCAAATGCATGTGCATACATATACATTGATATACGAATGATATCAAATGACGCTTGTTGAATTCGTGTATGGCTCTCGATCTTGTTATAATTCCCCCAGCGGCGGCTTCATTTAACTTCATCGGTTGAGCCAACGTATTCCTTTGTCCACCAGAAAGGTAAAAGCGCTTGACCACGGCAGAGTTATACTTGAATAGACTGCGTCTCACTGAATCACACATCGATACTTGAGCCAAGGTATTCCTTTGTCCACCAGAAGAGTAAAAGCGCTTGGCCGCTTGCCCGCGGCAGTTATATTTGAATAAACATCATCTCACTGAATCATACATCAATACACGAGCCAACGTATTCCTTTGTCCACCAGAAGAGTAAAAGCGGTTGCTCGCGGCAGAGTTATATTTGACTGATAAACTGCGTCTCACTGAATTATACATCAATACTTGAGCCAACGTATTCCTTTGTCCACCAGAAGAGTAAAAGCTCTTGCCCGCGGCAGAGCTATATTTGAATAAACTGCGTCTCACTGAATAATACTGTGTTACTGACCGTTGTTTTATATCCACGAAATATCTTTTCCAAAAGTATAATTTTGAAGTACTTTGCCACAGAGATCTTACAATTTTGCTTGCAAGTGATACAATGAAGCTTACTGATCCAAGCAGGAAACTATATTCAGACGAAGAGGTGAAACCTGATTGGTCTATTTTCCCGCACGCATGGGAAGAGATTTGACAATGGTTTGTTGTTAATTCAGCCTTGCGCTTTGCACGTGTATGATCACACGATTCACAGATTGACCTTTGTACCAGACCTTTGTACTCCAGGAAACTTTGCACAACTTTACTCTTGTCCTAACGCTTGTTTCATTAACTTAAGTTTATAATGCTATGGGCATGTATAAACTTGCTGTAGTTAACATTTTTAAAGTGACATTACTAATAATTGTAAAATTTTAATTTGTGTTTGAATGTATGCATGTATGTTTGTGGGTGTATATATATTGTTTGTAGCATATAAATGATTTGTAATTACCTGCTGAAAAGCCCTTTTGGGAGCAGGCAATATTGTAATAATAATAATAATAATAATAATAATAATAATAATAATAATAATAATAATAAGGCCAGCTGTGAAGGACCTATTATAAACTTACTGCAGGTGTATAATGAGAAATGCACTGTAAAGTCCAATGACCGGTCAATATACCTGAATGTTACATAATGGTGCAAAGCATTAAGAAAGCGAGGATCCATCACCACTTTCCGCAAAGCCTTCATTGCCTTGGAACCCTTATCCATCAAGGTCTTGTTTTCTTCAGTGGAAACAAGTGGACCATTTGTGCATTCACCATCTGCCCATTCGTTTTCACCAACAACATGTAAAACTCCAAACCAGCTGTCCTAAAGTGTATTCATTAAACCAATAAGCTCCAAAATGCCCTACTTTATAGGGCAAATAGTCCCAAGTCTGATTTTCCGCAAAAGTGCAATGTTCACTATTTGGTCCAGAACGATGTGCAAATTGCACTATAATATATAAGGGTAACATCCTAATGTGAAAGTTAGTACTTTCCTCACCTTTAATTTCTTGTGCATGAGCTGCATACCAGAAGTGGTTTCGTATTGGCTCGGTCCACTCGCTTAAGAGGCATTCCGTGTAAAAACCGACCACTCGAATTTCGTAAGATTACAGAATTCCTTCATACTTTCTGTGTGGAAGAAGTCATTCATAAAATGAACAAAAAACGTTGACTTTGGAATTGTAGCCAGTTTTAAAATTTTTTTCGCAATTATTTTCGGACGCGTTCGAAAACATGTTAAGACGGTTAATTACGCAAGTGATATTTGAGCTTTTTTATATCTCATTTTCATCTCGCGCTTTTATTCTAACTTCTTGAAACTTAAATATTTTATTATTTCCTGCCTATGCACTAACCTAAACTAAAAATTATCCCGATCACTTGAAGCAAACAAAATATTGTGATTTTTTAAAAACGTCTTGCAGACAGCGGATTAAATATTCCTGTTAGTATGCCGGCGGTAAATTATTTTTTCTCAAAAGTGCAACGGTATCAGGTATCCAATTAGCCTGCTTATCCCCCCTTGGAAATTCCAGGCGGCAAGCAGGCTAGTATCCAGTCTATTGCAGCTACTGAGTATTATGACACATCTACTAGAATAAAGAATAAAAATCTTTGGGCAGTGTGTTTTTCGCCTGACAAGCGCGTCATGAATATGGTCAAATTTCGGTAATTCGACTAATTATAGGCTATAATTTGTTAATGTGGCTGTTGTTTTGGATAGAAACTAAATTATAAACATGCCAGCAGTTTTCCTAGCTTTATACATAGAGCAAAAGTCTTGACGTGTGTGCCGACTGAAATTGACATGCACGCGGCGTTGCTAGTCTTGCTAATTATATCCGCGCCGGCGGGTATTATCTTTTAATTATTTATCAGTGTATGGAAGCACTGTAACATATTGATTTAAAACTATATTCCCCCGTTCCCACCGAATGTACACATGCATCTGTCAGAAGAGAGTATTAGAAGAGAGTATTATACAATTTATTAAAGAGTAATGTTTTTCGCGTGAAAAGCGGTTCATATAATCCCCATCATCGCTTGAAGTCGGTCAGTGCGTAATTTATATCTTTTTCTTCGCTTTCAAATTAACAGTATATTCATATCGTAAAATCATTTCAATCTTAATTCGTCGAAGAGCTAAGGAATATTAGCTTTTGTAATAACTATAAGTTTTAACTTTTAACTGCGCCGTAACCACTTGGGAGGGGGGGGGGGGGGGTAACATCCCCCAAAGAAAAGTCAAGGAAGGGGCACAATAATTTACAAAATTAAATAACTGCATCGATGATATTACAGCACACCTCGCAAAATGCCATTTATCAAAAGAACGCATCTCGGGAAAAAATTTAATTTTAGTGAGAGCAGAATTGTATTGTCTGGGTGGAAAGAATATTGAGGGTATATGACTGTTTGTCCATGCAAGACATCGGAAGCATTTGGTACGTTTTGGCGGTCTCCAACAACGTGCCAGTATCCCGAAGATGCAGGAAAAACAAAAACATACTTAAAAAAGCTTGATTATAGTAGACACGAAATATTTTCGGGCAATATACCACAGCTCTTCCAATAGATATAAATCCCGTTTTGTACAGTAATTCATTTTGCATGTTATGGCCAATTCAATGGGACGTGGGCGGTGGGCCTTTAGTTAGGTAACAAGTGTAAACACACCGTGTAAAGCCTGGCTATAGGTACTTCTCAGGTACAGGTAAATGTCATGCAGGGCAGCCAGGCGATAAATATCAGTCCCGTAGTGTAAACACGGCTAATATGAGTGTACTAGTATACATTTTTAGTATTTTTGCACAAGTGAACATAACAAATCCTACAAGGTGATTGGTCAAATTTGACCTATTAATCTGTTATATTCACCTACAGGTGAATATAACAAAATCAAAATTGTTAAAATGGCGGCTAGCCGTTTTGTTGAAGTTAGTGATAAAGAAATAAGCGAAATTAAAATGAATTCGGACAAGAAAAACACAAAAAAACTTGTGCAAAAATACTAAAACAATTATTCGCCTAAACAAAGCGACGACAATGTCTAAATTATTCATATATTGTAATTTTTCAATTGTTTTCAACGATTTATGGTATTGGTAGCCGTTCAGTTAAAAATGGGAAAACCAAATATGGCCCTGTCACACTATTGCGTATCGTATTAGCGTATGTCAGCGAATGGAAAATTTCAATCATAAGCGGACATACGCTAGGGGTACGTTAGGCATAGGTTGTATGCGCTCGGCACGGTCGGCATACGGTGGCATACGGATGCAAGTATACGGCGAGATAAGCATGCTTAAAAAATTTCGAGTATGCGGACGTATATGCATGCTTGCATGGTTTACGGTACTCATACGTTTCTCTCGTATATACGCAATAGTGTGCATGACAGGACCTTATAATCGAGATCAGCATGTATACGTAATTGCAGTTCTTAAAAAACATGAAAATATTAAACATGTATGCCAGAAATTACGGGAACCACTGAGTATTTTGATAAAATACAAAACAATAGATACTCCGAAAATTGAAAGCATTTTGAAAAATTTATTTCGACGTTTCGACTAAACTATAGTCATCATCAGGAAATGAATGATGATGATATTTCATATGTTATATATTCACTATATATACTTGTACATATGTAATATCATCATCATTCATTTCCTGATGATGACTATAGTTTAGTCGAAACGTCGAAATAAATTTTTCAAAATGCTTTCAATTTTCGGAGTATCTATTGTTTTGTATTTTAAACATGTATAAAATATTATAGTTTAATTTTACAGTGGGAAAAAAAATCTGCACTATGATGAGAAAAAAGTGCTCTTTCAAGTCATTTCTAATTGGCACACATATACTTTCCCGCACTTTTCTTATACATTTTTTGTTTATGTATACCATGTACTACTTAATTATGGTATACCCATAAACGTAAAATTTCAAGCATATATAATTGCTGGCATATTTATAACTTACTCTCTATCCAAAAAACAGCCATATTTGAAACATAGTAAACAGTTTTGTATGTTTTTAACGCGAAAAATTTAAGTAAATACATTAACAAATTATAGCTTATAATTAGTCGAATTAGCGAAATATACTACATTCATGACGTGCTTGTCAGGCGAAAAACACACTGCCCAAAGATTTTATTCTTTACTCTATGTGTGGTGTGTCATAATACTCAGTAGCTGCAATAGATTGGATACCTGATACCGTTGCACTTTTGAGAAAAAATAATTTACCGCCGGCATACTAACAGGACTATTTAATCCGCTGTCTGCAAGACGTTTTTAAATAATCATAATATTTTGTTTGCTTGAAGTGATCGGGATAATTTTTAGTTTAGGTTAAGGTAATTCCGCAGTTTTGCATTGCGCACTTTTACTGCGCACATTTTATAACTTATAATTTCATCCATTATACGTACCGTTTAAAAAAAATATCATTTTATGACAATTTTATGTGACTTCAAAACATCTTTGGTTACATTCGTGCAAAGAATTACGTTGAAATCAATGTTTTAAAAAAAGGCATACAAAAGTGTAGCTAGGGTTCCTTGTGTCTGTAGTATATTTATTTACTTGTATTTCACGTTTTGATGCCACAATTCTCTAAAAAGGTCGGTGACCCCCGTTTTTTAACTGATAATTTATTTCTTTAATGCATTTTACATTTCATATCCGAAATTAAAAGAAAAATCATTTCTGGATCTTGAAAAAAATGCTTTATCAATGCATGTTCTCAAAGAAAGATATGTAAAGAAATGTGCAAAAGACATTTGTGGATCAGAATTGTACACGTTAGTAGTTTCATTTTGCTTAAAACACAATATGTTTTCAAAAATAATTGCAAGATAGGTTTACTAAAGCAAAATCCGCGCTAAAAACGTTAATAAATATCGGGCTGTTGTGAGTTTGCTGTTACTCGTAATGAGCGTCAAGATGGCGCTATATTGGGGTAAAGGTGGTATATTGTGATTGTCATATCTTCTTAACGAGTTCAGTGACACCAACGTTTTTGTGTGATTTTACTTTAAATCATAAACTCCATGCCTGGGAAGTTTCAGCACATTCTCATTTCGGGAACAATTACTGCGGAACTACCTTAATGCTTAGGCAGGAAATAATAAAATATTTAAGTTTCAAGAAGTTAGAATAAAAGCGCGAGATGAAAGTGAGATATAAAAAAGCTCAAATATCACTTGCGTAATTAACCGTTTTAACATGTTTTCCAACGCGTCCGAAAAAATTTTTAAAACTGACTACAATTCCAAAGTCAACGTTTTTTGTTCATTTTATGAATGACTTCTTCCACACAGAAAGTATGAAGGAATTCTGTAATCTTACGAAATTCGAGTGGTCGGTTTTTACACGGACTGCCTCTTTATACCTCACAACCCTTAATTTTTGCAGGCTAAAACCAATAATATTCAAACCGAACATCTCAATTAGGAAAATATGACTCTATATAACGAAGATGATGTACTTTGGCAGACTCTCGAGAGGGTTTTAGGCTGCCAGCATATGACCAATGTTTGTAGCTGGAAATTTTAGTTAAACTTTTTTGTCTAAATTAATCCTCTCCCCGTGTTCACCACTTAAAGGGACTATGTTTTATTTAATTTAATGATTAGTGTATATTCCTAAATGACCCAATATCGTACAGTGTATTGTATAAGGGAGTGCATGAAGTTAAATATCACCTTTGACAACTTCTTTGTCAACTTTACAGATTTGTGCCAAATGTCAAGCGCATGAAATAGGTTACCAAATTCATTACGATACTTATCTAAAAAATCCATAAAATATATTTAATTAATTAACCCAATAAGAGCCAGCGCCATCTCCCCTTGATGAACAGGATTGTCTAGGAAAATCATCTGGCATTAGAGTAAAATAATAATGTAGGCGCATTAGGACACAATGCATTAAAACATAATGGGAAGACATGAAATAATCTAATTTTTTTCCTGCACCTAATTTTTATGTTTTAATCCATTACTATTATTATACCTTTCATTCTTCTAACCAGTACGGCAACTGCCGTGGAAGCATCTGTCGCAATTTCTGACACAACAATCTCACCAACAACGGCCGTTCCAACAGTTTTTTCAGCCCACAAACTTCCATATTGGTTGACACCCCACCAGTTTTACGCTTGTCTACAACTTCAATATCTACGATTACATTGTCATTGACAAACTGCTCCATAAGTACATACACACAATACTTAGCACTGAAGCCTGGTGAATCATTTCGGCCATCACCGCAAAGAATGATGCTTTCCCCCATAACGGTTTTCCATATCGATGCCTTCATCTCTTGATCTCCGGGATCACATACTTCTTTTGGATTCTCATAAAAGTTGACCTTGTTTTCATACTGCAAATTTTAAAAGCCCGGTGGAAAAGAGATTCTATCCCATGCAGTTTTGCGATGAGAAAATGAAACATAGGTCCGCTGTGGTGGACATGCATCTACTAGCACTGGGGAATAAAAGGCATTGAGCAGATAAAAACATAGATATGCAATTGTGCAGTCTGACCTTTGGAATCGATTTCTGGCCAATTTCCAGAGTCATATAGCACAATTTTCATGCTTTCAGTCAAATAAATTCTTGCCAACATGGCTTCATTTCCGGAAAGTCATGCGTGACACCTAATTGAAGTTTTAGATACACATCTAATTAGATCTCGGATAGCAGATTGATGTGATCTACCTGGATATGGCAAAAGCATTTGATAAGGTTAGTCACGTACGTCTTCTACATCGTCTCAGAGAATTTGGATTCGGAGGAAATCTCTTAATGTGGTCTGATTCTTACTTGAAAAATCGCCGACAACAAACTGTTGTTCTCGGTGTAACATCGACAGCACTACCAGTGACATCCGGACTACTCCAAGGTTCCATTCTTGGCCCGCTACTTTTCGTCTTATATACCAATGAACTATCCTCTTCCATCGTGAATTCGAACGTAGCTGCTTTCGCTGATGACACTAAGATTTTTAAAGTGATTAACTCCAGGAGAGATGCAATGTTATTACAAAATGATCTTCTCAACTTTAATTCCTCCTCTCATCCAATGCTGGTCTGCATCTTAACACATCAAAATGTAAAACCCTCCAGGTCACCAGGAAATACAACAAAATAGATTTCCCTTATCAATACCACGCTAGAAAAGACTGATTGCGAACTCGATTTAGGTGTGTGGACGAATTATGATCTCACTTGGTCAAAGCAAGTTACACAACAAAGTAACAAAACTAGTAAAATGTTGGGTTATATTCGAAGATCAACTTTAGGATATGCCACCCAAGTATGGGCACCCCAAACAGCTGAGTTGGTGAAAAAAGTAGAACGAGTTCAGAGGCGTGCAACAAAATATATTTTAAACGTTCCCTTTATTTATGATACAGAATATAGAGACCGACTCCTTGCAACCAGTTTGGTCCCTCTCAGCTACTGGCACGAATACCTTAGCCCGCGTGCAGGCCTAAGGGAAGAATAGTGGGCCTGCAAGCAAGGCCCAGTATTTTGTACTTTCCGCGTTCGTCCACGAACGCAGCATTCTGATTGGCTGTTTGCTGTTGGATTCTATAATCCTCGAGCCGACGGCGCGAAGCGCCGTGCGAGGGTACTAATTCCCCCCGGCTATTTACACCCGGGGAAACGAAAGCATTAGCGGAGTCTAAAGTTCATCAATTATCGCGGGCGTGGGTGACCAACGGTGTTGGGTGGGTGGTCATCCTCACTGATCTCAAAAATATGGTGGACTATCACGTATAGCGAACACTGATTGGTCTAATTTAAAGTTTGCATTATAACGACTGCATGACGACAGCGAAATAGCAAACATTTCTTGATTTGATGATTGATAAATTTCTTGCAAATATATTTCATTTTGCTCGCATTTTTGCAAGATTTTGTAAATTTCAAAAGCTCTCTGGGAAAGAAACTGCGAAAGAATCGGCTAAAAGAAGGGAGCCGACGTTAACGAAGGTAAGTTTGTTTTAAATATTGATTTTATAATGGATTTAAAACCCGACGGCCTTTGCGTATATGAAACAACTAAACAAAACAGCATATAATTTCAGAGTGTATCTTTAATATTGATTCCTTTCTTATGATATTGAATTTTTTAAATAAAAAAGAAAGCAAAGTTATTTGCAAACTCAAAGTTTATCGATAAAGCCATTTTAAAAGGCAGTTTAGTTTTATAACACTATAGTGACTTTGAAAACGTTTTGCGAAGCGTTTGTGGTTGAATTTTACCTTAAATTGAGGCTTATATTACGTATAATAACATATCTAACATATATATGTTGGGAAATTAATAATTTTGTAATTAAAAGTGATATTTTTAGGCGATTTTTCATTTGTAAGAATATTCTTAAAAAATTATCGTGTTACCATGACAACTACTTTAGATACTTCATGTTAGGAAAATACAATGGTTTTGTCAGCAAGGTGAGGGTTTCTGCATGCATGTATTTTCTAGTTAGATCAGTGATTCATCACAAAGGCTCTCGATATTAAAGCTTAAAATTCGAAAATTGATAACTTTTTTCGATTAAAAATGGAACAAGAACAGACTGTTTATTGTTTACTTGAAGGAAGAGATGTTTTTGCCGTTATGCCAATGGGGATTGCTTGTCGTGAAGTGTTGGAATAGCAACATTACGACTGGGGTAAACTATAGTAACCTTTACTCGAGTTTCATTAATTTCAAACAGACTTGATACGTTATATGTTCCTCAAGAAAATTACCTTTTGGTTGATGTTTAGAGGCAGTTGCATGTAAGCCTATTCAAAACACTTTGCGATTTGCAAGACTTCGCTGAGAGAGCGAAACAGAATACGATAATTGCCGTTTGAAACGAAACGATCTGGACGCTCTGAACGCTCTCTTCTTTTGTAGAGTTCTTTACCAAATGAAATAACTGAAATAAATTTCGTACTTTTCGCCGCCATCAAGAATTGCACACACGATCTGATAAGTGAGACAATCTAATTATAACAATGGCGACAGCGAAGCACCGCACATTAATGCTAATGTGGTCGCACGACTTTCCTCACGATTTGAAGTTTGAGACTGGTTTTCTGTTGAAATTCGTCCTATTTTGCCTGTTCCGATTTTAGTTGAAAATGAGCACTTGCAAATTTGGCAATTACTGACTGCGTTGCTTGCTTTTTTGGAGTTAAAAGCAGCCATTTACACATTGTTTCTGTTCTGAATAAGCAGAGAAAACCCCGCAACATTTATTGCGAGTTTGTTGTTAATATTTGGGTTGCTGTCATTGGTTCTTTTTTGACAATAGACGCGCGAATGGGGCGTGTTATGAAAAGGGGCGTTTTACAAAATACCGGGTCTTGCTTGCAGGCCCACTATTCTTCCCTTGGGCCTGCACGCGGGCTACGAATACCTGGACGTAGTATTCTTCTATAAGACAAATCACGACATTTTTAATATTGATAAAAAAATTCTTCCCTTTCCTCAACCTCAGGGTCAAAGACGGACAAGATCATTTAACCCCAACTCGCACAAATATAAAATTCCGACATATGACGTCAACCTATGAAAAATCTTACAAAATCCGAACATCAAGAATATGGAACACACTACCTAATCATATTACATCCAAAGACCGAACATTTCAAGTACTATATTTTAGCATTAGAAAATACATACGATGTTGAGGATCTCCGCACATGGAAAAGTGTGTGTATAAAATGTAATTCCGCTCGAAGTTTAAAGGGGCAGTATGATCAAAATTTTTATTTTCTTAAACGAAAGTGCTCGTAAAACTGTATAATAACTTGTTTTGAAGATTTTGGTTCCCATGCTTAGTTCTTGAGATATTTCATTTTGTTTGTAACCATGTGACGTCATCTACTCAATTTTTATACGTACTATTTAAAACACGAGTAGGAGTGTTTTGTCAGATATAAAACGCGAGGCGCAGCCGAGCGTTTTATGTCTGATAAAACACGACAACGAGTGTTTTGAATAGCTTAAAATACGACTACAAAAGAATACTAATTAGGATGAACCATTATATAATCATACTAATTAGGATGAACAATTATATAATGCCGCATGCTTTATCAGATATAAAGTCACTCCACGTGACATATTATGGCTGACATGATTTGCCACAAGATTTATGAATTATTAATGAGTATTTTAAATATATAATAAGCTTTCAGTAATTGTTGTGTATCTTTGCTATTTTTATCAAAATATTTCGAAAGATGCAGCGCGTTTGTTAATTTAACCTGCATCATTAGGCATACTGTGTTTTTTAACAAATCGATCAAAAATAGCAAAGATACACAACAATTACTGATATCTCATTATATATGTAATTGAGTAGATGACGTCACATGGTTACAAACAGATGAAATATCTCAAGAACTAAGCACGAGAACAAAAATCTTCAAAACAAGTTATTATACAGTTTTACGAGCATTTTCGTTTAAGCTTTGGTTTAAGAGAATAACAATTTGATCGTACTGCCCCTTTAATGAACTTTCCATTGACATGCTGCTTTTAGACATAATCTAATGACTGTTGTTCAAGTATTGTTTATTGTGTGTGCTTAGTATACCTTGTAAATTGTTTCCTATAACTATTGGGGCCGCTGTAATTGGAATAGCTGTTGTGGTTTCCCAGCCAATGGATGTATAAGTATGATGGCAAAGTAAATAAATAAATAAATAAGCACGTCGCATTGTTGACGTTTTAAAATTGTATTTCCGGTTGGGGTTAGCTCACAGTCGGGCCAGAAATGGAAATTTATATACCGTGATAAAACTAAAAGATACAAATTTGAAGATACAAACTCGAAAATATAAGCACTCCACACAGTGTTATTGATAATGATTCGAACAAGAATATTGCGATAAAGATACGTCCAAAGGGGCCGAAGTTATGTTCGGCGAAAGGTATGGCTTATTTTTGTTCAGACAATTGCGTAATTTGATAATATGCGATCTCGCGTGACTTTCAAAGGCCATAAATCGCTACATTGTTGATAGTGACTAAAACTATTGTGCACTGAAGCGAAGATGTGAACATACAAAGTCGCGCAGTTATACGGCATTCTATTCTTCGTATTGCACTCATATTGCACTCCGCACTCGTGTTATTGACAAAACCATTTATGGAGAACAGCGGAACTAACCGTAGATAACCGACTTTCGCTCGCAATCCTATGCTCGCAATGCATTACATCGATACGTCATCAAATATGCCTTTTCCCGACATATACGGACCTCTGGTCCTGACAATGCTTCTACTGATTAAAAATCAGTAGATGCAAAACCGGTGTGAGTGTCCTGACGATAAATATCAGTACCACTTCTCATTTTGTAAATATTTTTAACTTTATTGTGAAAAAGCACCGTGGGTAAATAAAGTCATTATTATTATTAACTACACCAAGTTAGGATCGAAACTATTGAACTTAGCTAAAACCGCGAAAATATTGGAAGATTTTATCAAAACAAGAGTATCATCAACGTAACGTTCAAAGAATTTTATAGTACCATAGGCAATCAACTCGGAAACTATTAATCTTTCAAATTCAGTTAAAATTATATTAGCTAGGAGTAAGTAACCCCTCACATCCACCGTCTTAAGTAATTAGTATTCAAATGTGGGTGACATACAGCGTACGCATGCACGCTCTGTATGTAAACAATTCATCGTTCACTCTTAACTACAATAATTTCAACAAAGTTCTCTCCATGAAAACTGTGTGAACAATGTGCCGAGCAGCTGTGTTCTCACAGAACAAACGTACGTACATATGTACCTAGAAAGCGTACGTACAGAATAATGAGCGTATAGCAACGCACCACGTGTGCAGCGTACGTACAGGACGTACGTTAAGAACCTGGTTCGTTTTGGTTCTGTGGTCAAAATCCAAGTTGTAATTTCTTTGGCTCGGAAGACACTAGTTACCTGTCTGAAAAAGCTATGGCTGCTTGGAGATGTACAAATCAGCCATAGCCACAATGTGATGGGCATCATATGCTTACACTCAAGATATGATGAAAAAGAGCTACTGTATACGGAAGACCGTTTTGCGTGTGCTTTGACAAAAAGAATCCAGGTTCCTTTTGGGTGTAGGGTGATGTGTAGCCAGCAACGAGACCGACTTGGCATCGTGGGTTTTTGTGTGCATTCCCAAAGATGAAAAAGGAAGGCGTCAACAAGGATCGTATGTTCTTTTGCTGTCCAAATGATAAGGAAAACTCGTGTCATTTTTTTGAATGGGCGCCTGACGAACCAGACTTTGGGTCTTGTTATAATGTGAACTTTAGCAATCCACCATTAAATAACTATGATTGGAACAAAGACAACTATTTGACATCTGAATTTATTCATGGTTTTGCAAACAAATTACCTAACCTGTAAATTAGATAGTTTTGTTCGTGTGCATCACGTGTTTTGTATTTTTTTCTATTGTGACTGCAATGGAAGTGATCTTAGATGAATTGTGAAAAAGTAACGGTGACATTGATGAGAAAACATTGCGGCACTGCGTTGAGACGTGCGTAAAAATGTTGCTTTTCCTCATGTGCCAGGATTTACTGAAATGCTCAAAATTTAGTCCAAAGTTTATAATGAGATTAAGTTGCCAATTTTGGTCGTGATATAACCTATTTAGACTGTTTGCATACATTGAAAGATTCTTGCTTGGAAGAGGTGCTACGAGAGAGTTGTTTTCCATTTGAGCTATAAGAGAAAATGTTTTCGTTCAAACTATACTAATACTAAGATAACACACGCTGGTTTAGAATATAAAATGATGCAGTAAACCATGTATTGTTCTAAACATGATTATCTGCTTCACCGGTTTGTAAGATGGACGTCCGGTTTCGAACGCTTGCAAACTTCTATATTTGTGGGCAAAGTCAACGTGGGGAAATCATAATGCCAAAGCCTCAAGAGAAAATATTTCCGAGTAGGATGTATTTTTAACTGAATTTTATCGCTAGCTTGCATGATTTTTTCTATAATCTAGACTACTTACTGGGAACTTCTATGGAAACATTCCCTTTAACTATCCCAAGGGAAGAGCCTGGAAACGAGGTTGTAACTATCCTAGCTACAATAATACCTATAATAAGCATTTTTTTTAAAGCGGATGTTAATATTCTTCGTATCCAAGATATCTATTCTTCCCATTCCAGTCTGGGTTAGAAAGAGGAGAGACCTGGAGAACGATATTCGTCCTCAATGAGCGAAAAGTAGCTGCCATAGTGGTATAACTAACATTAGCAACCAATTCAACCACATGCCAGGTACGCCAGAAGTCACTGGAGGACAAGGCACTGGACAATCTCCCAGTGAAGAATCATCGCCGTTCTCGTCTTCAGGAGAATTGCCTAAACAATAAAGATTGGGTAGAGAAGGGCGTGATAAATAAAATTATTGAGTGGGATAAGTCGTTTCTACAATTCTTCTCACAAAATTTGTCACTATTATTGTTATTGTTCATATTATGGTTGTAACTGAATCTGATTTGCTACCACCAATACGTGTGACTTGTAATTACATTTACATGCATGAAGTAAATATGAAACATGGTTAAAAGATTAACATATAAATTAATTTCTGGTGAAATCCCCGCACGACTCCTTCTAAAAAATAATATTTGGCTCTTTAAAAACCGTAGACTGCACGTGAGTCGTTTGCGTGGACCTTTTGCGGAGGTGTGGGATGTCACGGACTGGACATCCTAAGCGGATCTTATCTACAGAATTTACTTTGATGAGGCTGTGACTTCCGCTCAAGGCTACGTGCAAAATCCCTTTAACGATGGTGTGATCTATTATTATTCACACTTACCTTTCTCGTCAACATCTTCATATTCATAGCCGAAATCAAGAGATTTTTTGAACATTTCCTGATGAGTGTACACCGGAAACATAGGTACAATGACGTCATTTTTATTGTGACCCATGGGCGCCTTGAATTTGGAAAGAACCGAAGCATCTTTTCCAAACTTTCGAAGCCACTTTTCGTAAATACGATCCACGAATGAATGATGAAGAAAAAAGATCGGGTCGTTCGAAGCCGAAGCGACAACTCCCATGTTTCCACCAATGACTATAATAAATAATAATAATTTATTCAATTAAATATAAAGCGAAAAAAACTATAAATATTCTAAAACGCTATCACTACAAATTCAAGTATAATGTTATCAAATATGAGAAGCTACCTATATGCACCCGGTTATGTAAGTTATTTTCTTTTGGCAAACGATAACCTGTTTTGACGCTAGTGTAACCCTCCAGGATATTTCTGAAATTGCAGCTGGACTCTTTGCTGTAAGGTGGGACGTCATAAGATCGAAATCGAAGTGCAAAGCTGACATCGTCGTTCGTTGGGAACGTCATGTTGCGGCCATTCTTTACCTCCTTCTCCTTTTCAGTGTTCCTTTTCAGTCCACTTGCGTTGACCTTAGGATTACAAAGCGTTGTGGAGTTTTTCGTCAGTTTTTCGGTGCAAATTACCCACCATTTATCCAAGTACTTCCCTTTGACAGTACCATCGGATTGGTTGGTAACGCCGAGGAGATCCTCAGAGCAGATTGTGGAGTTGCATTGGGTGGGATTTTCAGTCCAGTCCCAGTATGGAAGAGCGAAATCTTCATCGTTCGCAATTTCCTACAAAATAGGCATACATAAATATTGTACTTGAAAACAGGCATGACATTACGCTTGTCTAGGATCTTCATAGGAGTTTGTATGCGTTTCATTTAGCAGAGGTAATCTCAACTGTTTTAGGGTAAAATGACCGTGGCGGTCAACATGGCATATATGCCAAAACCTGAATCCGGGACGAAAGTCCTGAAAATGACCCGTCCTGAAACGGCAGTGTCGACATAGCTCTAATTTCCGAAAAGCAAAAGCGCCAGCATTTGTGAAATGCTTATAGTGTTTAGAAGGGTTGTTTTAGAGGTGGTTATTGGAAGGAAAATTTGTCTGAGTGTAATATTTTACAAGAAAATGACCATGCACCACCCCAGGTCAACTGCTAATTATGCATAAAATAATTAATATACCTGGCAGAAATTAAATTTCCTTATTTCCTAAAAAACTTATCAAGGGATGAAAAACTATGCTTAATCTCCGAGCCGACGGCGCGAAGCGCCGTGCGAGGGTACTAATCCCCCCCGGCTATTTACACCCGGGGAAACGAAAGCATTAGCGAAGTCTAAAGTTCATCAAATATCGCGGGCGTGACCAACGAACTTGAGTGGGTGGTCATCAATCATCATACTGACACAGAATAGGAAGTTATACCAGAAGCGTAACTCGAGCAAATATTTGTCCGCGTTTTTACAAGCGATTCGTCATCAATCACGCCATCCTGGCTAGTACAACCGGCACTTTGTACCTACCAAATCCTGATAAAAACTTCCGGCTGTACTAGCCAGGATGGCGTGGCCTGACGTGAGCGAGTTAAAATTTTCGTGGACGTCAAACAATAAGGGAAACGACTAGAGTTACGCTTCTGGTATAACTTCCTATTCTGTGATACTGATCTCAAAAATATGGCTGATTGCTTGTGGTAGTGGGATAAGCAAGATTTCAAATTTAAAAGACATATACTTGGAAAATCTTTCATATACAACAAGCTTGAAACAATTTTGTTTGAAGAAATGAGAAGAATACGGCAAGTTTGCTTTGAATTTTGTTGCTTTAACTTTTCACTCTTTTTGCCTAAAAACATGAACTATTTTCCTTTTCAACGAAGCTCTAAGTTTCATAAATTACCGTTTAATTTGAACAAATTGATTTGAAGACTGAACTAAAATTACCTAACAATTTGTTTTGTGTGCAAAATTTAAACAGTTTATCGGCAAATGTAGTTTAGTTGAATGAACATTTCAAAAATTTCACGAAGCGTTTCAAGTTAAATTTTACATTAAATCAAAGCTTACAAAATGCAAAATAATATACCTACAGTGTATATTTCGGAAATTTATTGTTGTATAGTTAAAATTGAAAACATTTGTTGCATTTGAAAGGAAAAAACTCCCATATTACATATTGTAGCATCAGAATCAAAAGTAAATAATTTGAAAGTCACGCGCAAGTTCACGAAAACTCCTCGTGGGCTACATGACAAGGGGGGAGGAGTGAAAATTTTCACGAAACGTTTGTTCGCCACAGCAACGGAACTAAATGTATTATATTTATTTATTTTTATGATTTATGATAAAAACAATAAATATTTGCTTACTTTTATCATCAATCATAAAAATACAATAAATATAATATATTTAGTTGGGTTGCTGTTATGGCGAACAAACGTTTCATTTCATTTCACGTTATATGTAGCCCCACCAGAAGTTTTCGCGAACTGGCGCGTGACTTTCAAACTATTTATTTTTGATTCTGATGCTACAACATGTAATATGGGAATTTTTCCTTTTAAATGCAACTAATGTTTTCAATTTTTCGATGGGGACTATTCTACAATGAAGTACTCTCGGATACTGTAATCTAAATACATATGAAGACGAAGAAATAGCATTTGTCGGGCAGAGAAGCGGGGACGCATTGCAATGCCAATGGCGGCAATTTGACGAAATATCGAAGGACACAAATGTCGAAGATAAAATACACTGCACTGATTCAAAACATGACGAAACGTGATGAATTCTTCTTTAGCCATTTATCAACAACTGGGTGATATTTGCGAGACTCAGCGATAAAAAGCAAACAAGACGGCAAAATATGGCTGGGGGGGGGGGGGTAAAGGAAACAAAATGTATTATATTAAATAGAAAACAATGACAATCCTTATGAAATCTACAATAACTATATTAATTTAAGCATAGTTTTTCATCCCATGATATTTTTTAGGAAATAAGGAAATTTAATTTCTGCCAGGTATATTAGTTATTTTATGCATATTTAGAAGTTGACCTGGGGTGGTGCATGGTCATTTTCTTGTATTATATTATACTTATACAATATTATACTTAGACAAATTTTTCCTTACATATATACACACATACATAAACTTTATTTCAGTGTTAAGAATACATATAGCCGACATAAGTCTACTTATGTCTAATTGAGGACACTATTTAGCTATTTACAGATATACCACTGTTATACCGGGTGGGGCAAAAAAAAGTACGATAGTTTGATTTACTATGACATAAAAAGTAAAAGAGCTATTACACTTAAATAAGTCATCGTATATTCCACGATGTTTAACTTAAATTTTGATATATGTCTTGTACCTTTTCATGCAATATTGACAAAGATAACTGTATTTAAACTTAAGCAAACATTTTTGGAACCGCCGAGAATTAGCTGAAAAGGCCCTATTAAAACCAATTGAATAACCTTTACCATTTTCTCGCGATTATTGTTTTAATTAGTGGGTTGGCTGGATGAGGTCAGTTGTTCTGGGTCCACACTTTGTTGAATGAAATCTCGACACGAGAGAGTACCTCCAATTCGGATTGGGACAAGTCTATATGTGCGATTCAAGTAACTCCGGTTCTGAAGCACAATTTAAGAGAGCTTCGTGGAGCGATTGTTACAGAATGCCGCAACTTGAAACAGCAAATTATCCAAAATTCTTTCGATTGTATGATTTCACGGGCAAGACGTTGCATTCGTGCTGGGGGACACGCATTTACTGATGAATGTAGACGATTGTTTTTGGACCACAAGAGTGAACGTACTGACAATAAAGTATAATGCGTCTTAACACAATTCATTGCATGTTGTATGTAGTAATATTTAATAAGCCATTTTTAGCTAATTTCGTCAGTTCCAAAAATGTTTACTCCTGTTTAAATGCATGTATCGTTGACAATATGTCATGGAAATGTGCATGGCATATATCAAAATTTAAGTTGGATATCGCTGAATGCCAATAAACTTATTTTAGTGTCATTGCAATTTTATTTTTGATTTTGCAGCAATTCAAACAGTTGTACTTTTTTTTGCCCCACCCGGTATATGTTAAATACATAGTCTAAAATCTAAATTACCTACATATAAGTATTAAGACATGCAATACTTTTCAATTACTAATTACTGCATAGTGCACAATTCCGACAGTTTTCAGTCATAAGGAAATCTATATTAATTTTTGAAAGTCATGCGCTTTACAATTTCAAGTTTAAAATTGTAGTTTTATAGCTCTTCACTAATGTTTGAGTCAATCGAAAAAATCACTATTGGGCCCGGATTGCGCTATTCAGGCCGTTAGTACAACTGGAAGCTGATCCACAGTGTTGGGACTTTCTTCAAAAGGTCTAAATGTTATTTTACATGGACTCCTGCACGTGTAAAGAATTGTTCATTATACAGAAAAATATGATAGCCGAAAATAGTTCGACATTCGTTTGAAGTGTCTTTGCAAAAAAGAAACGTGGCTTCTACGTGCAAAAATAATAGAAATTTCAATATCACACGGCATGCGCAGCATGCAGTCGACTTTATTCTTTAAATTTTCTATTGTTTTTGCACCCCCTGCCGGCCTGCCATGTGGCGACCCCTTTTCTCGGGTATATTCTAACCAATACAGCAGGATCGTCGGGGCCGTAGGGGTAATAGCTCAACAGAATAAGATCTATATCACTGACACCAACAACAAGTTTTCTTTTATCACATGTATATTTTATAATATTGTGCGACCTCGTGTGTATAGCTATTGATAGACGCATAAGCTAGCTCTGACTAATCACAGGGAAAACTAACTGACTGTTCCCTGACGGTGTCATACATATTGTCTCATCTTAATTAAATTACACTGATTGTGCATTGTTCATCAATGGTTCATTGTGTGTTCTCATGTGACCATCGCATGCAACACTCGTGCATAATTCTATAGTATATTAATTCCGTGTATAACAATTATACGGAAAAGTATGATAGCCGAAAATAGTTCGGCATTCGTTTGAAATATCCACTAATCTAGAAATACTTAACCGGAAATATCTCTGTAAGAAAGAAACGTGGCTTTCAAACTCATCACATTCTTCAGTCTGCCTTTTTAAGATTTTAGATTCGTCAGGATCTCTGACACCACTGTGGCGAACCCACAAGTTGGAAAAAGGGGATTGAATTAGAACTGACCTGCAAGCGTTTTAAAGTATTTCAGTAGACCTATTTATGCAAATTATATAGTACAGCTAACTGACTAGTTTAGCCCATAATGGTTATTTCAATTAGCTTGCACCTTCAAAAAAGTATAATTTAAATATGTCTTATTGATAATTGTAATATCTGGTACTTTAAAATAAATTGTCATTGTCAGAGAGTTTCTTGAACCGTCTGAAGTTACGTATGTCAAAACATTACCGAACTAAATCTAAATACACTCACCTGCAGTGCTCTCTCCCATGCGAGCAAGTACAGTCGGTGCCAAGTAGGAAATCCCTGCCCGTCATGTGCAAAGTCGATGTTGATCTTCCCGACATTCCGGCCAATAGTGTTACGTGCCGAGTAGTAATGCATCCACGTGAATAGGTCATAGTTACTGACGTTGAAAAATAACCTGCTCGAATCTTTGCCTGCTTCGACGTCTTTGTTGATGTCCTCATAAAATGTGGCAGAAACTACATAGTCGCTTAAAAAGTATTTGGACTCATTAATATATCGCATGTAACGATCTTTCTCCTGAGCGGACAACTTTAGAAAATTTCTCCGTGTCAAGGTTTTCTTTTTCGTACAGTGAATGCCACGGTAACCGAACTCGCATTTGCCGCAATCGTAACCACCAAAGTTGCCGTTGCATTTGCAGGTTCTGTTATAAAGAGCGTGTGGCCAGTTGTGACGTTCGTCGTTGTTCTGGAACTGTTCAAAATAGCTGTAGCTGTAATTCCAATCACGGATAATCAATTCCTCGCACGTTCCTCGGTTCCCATCGCTACCACATGGCTCAGCAAAATGTTTCGGGATTGGACAACATGTCTTGTTTTTCAAGCTCGCAAGGGTTGTACAGACTCTAGGAAACTGGCCTGAAGTCCACGGTAACACAGCGGCAACGAGTAGAAAGCACAGGATGGTTTTCAAGGTGTTCATCTTGTCAGTTGCTAAACTTTGGATACGATTCAAGTTTCTCTTTTAGTGGTGAAAGAGTAAATTAATAATCCTTTTCTAGGAAATGAAACGACCAAATGTCGTCTTAACTTCCTAGACTTAGTTTTGCTATGCAAATTTCAAATCACTCTATGATATAGCATTTGTAAATTCTGAACGCTGATTGGCTAAGAGCCGTGTTTGTATAACTCAATATCAACACGGAAAATTTCTTTCTTTATATTTTTTATGCTATAAATATAAAACTTATTCCGTATTGATATGCAGTTATATTAACACTCGTGGCAATTCATGGAAAAACTCGAAATTGTGTGAAAACACTCCGCCCTTCCGGTTTCCATACAATTTCTCGTTTTCCCAATTCCCACTCGTGTTAATGTAACTGTATATCAACACGGAAAATGTTTTATATTTGTTAAATCATTCATTTCTTTAGAAATTCTTAAGCAAATTCTTTAGAAATTCTTTAGAAATTACATAGCAGAAGTAAATAGACGCTATGGCAGGGGGTGCAAAAACAATAGGAAATTCAAAGGCGACTGCATGCATGTCGTGTGATATTGAAATTCCTATTGTTTTTGCACCTGAAGTATGGCGTCGCTTAACCTTGCACGTGGAAGCCACGTTTCTTTCTTACAAAGACATTTCAAACGAATGTCCAACTATTTTCGGCTATCAGACTTTTCTGTGTATAATGAACGAATTCTTCGCACGTGGGGTCATTTAAAATAACATTTAGATTCTTTGAAGGAAAACCCAACACTGTGGATCAGCTTCCAGTTGTACGAAGCCTGAATAGCGCATCCGCGCCAGATAGTGATTTTTTCGATTGATTGAAACATTAGTGAAGAGCTATAAAACTACAATTAATTTTAAACTTGAAATAATAGAAAGACACTTTAATTTATAAATACTAAAGCTTGGTCTTGATTATAACCATTTAGGTTGATTTAGCGATATATTTAGAAAATACGTACAAAGCGTGAAAGTTCGCTATCCAGCGGATAGCAGACAATTGCGTTGTGAAGTAAATGCAGAAATGAAAAAGCAAAAATACAAAGTACCTGTACCCACAGGGGCTGCAGCAATTTTATTCCAGATATTAGACTTTTGCCAACTAGGATTGTCTGAGGTATACCTGATGAAAAAACATGTACTGAGGAACTAAAGCAATGGCATGGTCCCAAAAAACCCAATCTCAGGGTGCAGTTTTATTTGCTTACCCAGGAGGTACACTCAATTGCAAATCTCCGAGCAGCCATGACTTGATCATCCCATAGAAATAATAGACATAATTCTTATTAAGTCTAATATTTCTATGCTTCATCCCCTGGTTCTAATAAATTAAGGATCCCACAATCCTTTGTGAGCCGTGTTGGTCTGATCTGTTGTCAGCATAAAGTTCTGACAAAAACACAATCTCACCTCTTCGTGAAATACCAATTAGCCCCTTCAGAGTATTGTGATGCTTGTAGGTGGAAGATGTTGCGCTTTAGCATCAGGGTTCTGCTGGCATTTCCCAGAACAACTCGGTGCAATCAATTATTACCCTAGTTTGGGGGTAATTCTCCTTAAAACTAGCAGGCATGGTTTTGGAAACATATTCTCGAGATGGCCAGATAGGTATTACCCTTAAGCCTATTTCGTAGAAAGTCTAGCCAAGTCAACCTAATGTGAGAAACTTGGGACACAGAAATATCATATCTATTGGTAAGATCTTGTTGTAGCAAACCACACCGGAGCCTGGAGAGGCATAGAAGTAATTCCTCTTCAGCTAGGGTCAGAGCTCTTTTTCTCCCACTTTTATCTTTCTTTTGAAACTCGCTATTGTTGGGACCTTTGTATCGGAGTCTTTCGCATGCCGAAGAAAGAAAATTATAAAAGGCTCGAATGTCTCGTAGCATTTCTTGTGCTTTTCATATGTTCAATTGAAAACACATGTTTCTTTGCTTTTTCTTTTAAAATACACATTTCATCCTGTTGCTTTTGCTTTTCATTTTCTAACTCAGACACAGAATTTTGTAGTTCCTCAACTTCCCGCATAACTTCTCAACAAGTTCACTTTCACTACTTTTTCGTTCTTGGGTTGGTGGGATTGGGCTAGCATGTCTTTCCCTACACCTAGATGTGGGTTGTGCTTTGGTAGGTGTTGGTTGAATTAATTTGGGACCAATAGTTGAAATGTTGTTTCTGTAGGTTTTCCCCCTTCAAAATTGTTTTGAACAAACTCTGTGCATGGTATTGATTTATGTTGAAAATCAACTCAGTCAATCCAGTGTGACCATGCTTTTCTCATTTTTGCCTCGGTTGGAAATTTGTGAAACGAGAGTTCAGGATTGCCCTTGGTGTTACCATCACAGAATGACACACAACAATATGTTCCAGGCTGTTTCATTTTTTTTCTGTTTGCTCTTGTAATGACAAATGCTGGTCTGCTTCTATTGAAGTGCTATGTAATTTGTCCTGCATAATTTACTAATATTAATAATTTAAATACTTAAAACCTATAATTACATATACTATTTAAAAATATGTACAAATTACCTAATCATTTAAAAATCCTAACTAATATTTTATTTCAATGAACTCTAAGTTTTTATAAACTCACTAAATAATTACTTCAATGCTACTATATAATTTAAAGCAACTATAAAAACCGTATATTTATACCTATTTTTATTAATAAATTAATATTCTATGCTGAAATTTACAAGCTAACTTTTACAAGGTTTCTTTTCGCGCCAAAACCTAACAAAGCAAAGCTGCCTGAAGAGGCCATGTTGACAAATGCATGTCGGCATGAAAAAATTGTCAACTTAATCGGCTTGTATTTGCAAGTCGCGCGGTCAGAAATATAGAAATAAGCGATAGACCTAGTTTGCTTGGTCACATAGCTTTATTTCAAGAGGTAAATTGTTTATGACTCATGTGCAGTTTATAGTATTTAAAGAGCCAGCTATTATTTTTTAGATGGAGTCGTGTGGGGATTCCACTGGAAAGCGATTTATATCGGTTAATCTCACTGATCTGAAATAAGACTGGATAAAGCATCCTATTGAATTCAGTAGTCCGATTTTGAAGCAAGAATATTTTAATGAGACTTAATTTATAAATCAGTCAAATTCATGACCATGCAGTTTAATTGTTTGCTGTTTAAGTTCAGTTAGACTATAAAGCAAATATCTTCGCCTATGTGACTTGTGAAATATAGCTTCCAAAACCCCTTCGAAGTAGTTTTAACATTTTATACACCACATAATGAGGCTTATGGCGGCCATATTTGATGGCCCACCATTAGTTATTCACCGGCAAATTTAGGAAAAAAGAAAGGCTACTGATGATAAATTCTTATCTAGGCAATATTTGTCCTTTCCCACTAGTGACTAGAAACGTAAAGGAAGAGTTAAACATGTCCACAACACCAGATTAGATTAATAGATCAGTGGTTAATCTTTTAACCATGTTTCATTATTGTGGGGCCATCCAATATGGCCGCCATTGGCTTCACTTATGCACAGCAGATGCTTCATCCAGTCTTATTTCAGATCAGTGGTTAATCTTTTAACCATGTTTCATGTGAATGTAATTACAAGTCACACGTATTGCCGTGGTAGCAAATCAGATTCAATTACAACCATAATATTAACAATAACATTAATGATTCTTCACTGGGAGATTGTCCAGTGCCTTCTGGCGTACCTGGCATGTGGTTGAGTTGGTTGCTAATGTTAGTTATACCACTATGGCAGCATATCGTTCTCCGGGTCTTTCCACTTTCTACCCCAGACTGGAATGGGAAGAATAGAGATCTTGGATACGAAGAAAACACAACATTAGCAACATTAAGAATATTAACATCCGCTTTAAAAAATTGCTTATTATAGGTATTATTGTAGCTAGGATAGTTAAAGGGAATGTTTCCATAGAAGTTCCCAGTAAGTAGTCTAGATTATAGAAAACATCATGCAAGCTAGCGATAAAATTCAGATAAAAAATACATCCTACTCGGACTATATTTTCTCTTGAGGCTTTGGCGTTACGATGACTTATTTGGCGAAACTTTTACTATTTGAGCATTTGCAGTAAATCCTGGCACATGAGGAAAAGCAACGTTTTTTACGTACGTCTCAGTGCAGTGCCTCAATGTTTTCTCATCAATGTCACTGTTATTTTATCGCAATTCATCTAAGATCCCTTCCATTGCAGTCATGGCAAAACAACAAATGAAGACGTAAATAACGTTATGTACAAGTTTATTATATAGAAAAATATATATAACAAATCAAATCTATAAATATATAATTTACAAATCTATAATTTACAGGTTTGGTAACTTGTTTGCAGAACCACAAGTTCAGCGGAGTCAGGTGTCAAATAGTTGTCTTTGTTCCAACCATAGTTATTTAATGGTGGATTGTTAAAGTTCACATTATAAAAAGACCCAAAGTCTGGCTCTTCTGGCGCTCATTAAAAAAACCGACACGGGTTTTCCTTAACATTTGGACAGCAAAAGAACATACAATCCTTATTGACGCCTTCCTTTTTCATCTTTGGGAATGCACACAAAAACCCACGATGCCAACAAGTCAGTCTCTTTGCTGGCTACACATCACCCTAAGCCCAAAAGGAACATGAATTCTTTTTGTTAGAGCACACGGTCTTCTGAAGATTTTTTTCATCATATCTTTGACCACACGCATTTTTGCAAGCTTATTATGCCCATTACATTGTGACTGTGGCTGATCCGTAGATCTAGTCTCCAAGCGGCTATGGCTTTTTCAGACTGGTAACCAGCGTCTTCCGAGCAAAAGAAATTACAACTTGGATTTTGACCACAGAACCAAAACGAACCATTTTTTGTTGTCGAACAAGAAACAGGTTCTCCATGTTCTTCTCGTTCACTCTTAACTACAATAAATTCAACAAAGTTCTCTCCATGAAAACTGTGTGAACAATGTGCCGAGCAGCATTTACGTCCTCAAATTATAGTCTCACAGAACAAGCGTATGAATGAATGATAACAATCTTTATTCAGGAGGCATTCTCACAGAAGTGATTTTCAGAATGGTCCTGTACTATAGAACTAGTATTATACAAAGTGAAAAATATTATATCTAATCTATTTACATGTGGTCAAAAGTTAAAAATATCATAAATTATCTATCATTACAATACTTGCTGAACTGGTAAAAGTTTTAAAAGTCGAGAAGAACAATAGTACATCATGGTGGCCGACAGCCAAAAACTTTCGATTTAAATTGAGGTATTGACTGGGCGTTTTGACAATCCGACTCAAGGTTGTTAGGTATAATCATACACAGCATGATAAGTGACTTTATGTTTACCCCAATTTGTCCTTGTCTTTGGCAAATGAAGAAAACAACTCTGTCGAGTATTATAATTATGAATACTGCTATTATATACTAAATTAAAGTCAAAGTTTATGTGATTATTTAAACATTTAAAAATGAATAATGAGCGTAGCTACGCACCACGTGTACAGCGTACGTACAGGACGTACATACCAGGGTGCTGTAAAACACTGTACATACATAGCGTATGTACGCTGTATGACGTCACCCGCATTTGAATACTAATTACTTCTGATGGTGAATGTGGGGGTTACCTACTGCTAGCACAGGTCCTAATGATGAGCCCATAGAAACGCCATCGTTTTGGACATACATTTACTCGTCAAAAGTAAAGGCAGTTTTGTTGCAACTATCCAAAAACACTGGACTTAAAGCTAGTAAAGAACTACAACTGAGGGGAGGAAAAATAATTGCAATCATAAAAAATGTTATCTGAACAACATTTTTCATGAAGGCAAAGGGCACTTTGCCACCAGAGAGAGGACACTTTTTGTGTTTTCTGAAAACTTGGGTGCCTTGCCCCCCCCCCCCATTCCTACGCCCCTGGGTAGATATTTTTAACATACTGAAGTTGACGAAATTTTCTAGTTGGTACATTGTGCGCATATTCATATAATTATAAATAAAGTTTTTTGGGGAATGCTGACTGTGAAGAAGTTTATTATCATGTTGGTATATGAACTATACGCGTATAATTTTGTCACATATCGCCTATAAGGTGTTTTATTTTTCATTTTTTCATTTTTTTTTAGTGTGGATGCTCTCGAAAAAGTGTACTGTTGCTTACTGAAAACTCATTTTGTTGCACCCAGACAACTGACCACAGTCACTAGCGTCACTAAGGCTTTAATAGATAATGCCACCGCTGGTAGTATGGATTATATGACTGATGGTATGTCAATTAGTGGTGATAATGCATTCAAAGACCTGCTGTCCAAGGTCGTCCGCACTACGATAAAATTACAAAATGAGTTGAGGGTTATGTATCTTCCCACTGCTCAACGATGTCATTATGTGTTCACTTTGACTGACTTGACAATGGTGTTTCGGTAAGTTCCACATATTATCTTGAACGGTATCGATTGCGGTAACACGCGTTTTTTTTGCACTTATTGATGGATTTTGTAGAGTGTTTTGAGGTTTTTTGTCTTGCTAAATATGCAAGTAAGAAGCGAACTGCAGCTGATATATAGAATTTAGATTGAAGCATTTCCTGAGATTTTTGTGGCTGTATATATATATATATATATATATATATATATATATATATATATATATATATATATATATATATATATATATATATATATATATATATATATATTATAGCTTTGGTATATTTGTCATGTATTAAATTACAATTAGATATTATAGAATATCTCCTGTCTCCAAACCGCGTGAAATAGAACTGCTTATCTTCTTAAGCTTCCATTCTTGCTTTTATTCCCTCATCGTCCGATTAGGCATGATCATGCATGACGATGTCCTTCGCCATATGACAACAGATTCCTTTATTGCACCTTACGCTTAGCTTCATAATCGTTTCCACGAAAAATCCACAATATTGTCGCTGGAGCTTATTTAAAAACTGTACACGATCGGTGGCATCTAGCTTCCAGTCGGAAGCATGATCGAAAGCTTCGAAACTCGTCTTGGAAATTGCAAGACCTTCCGTGTTCTAGGGAAATTTTGTCCTATAACAGATACTTCTTCCATTTCAGGAACTTGTGCCTTTCACTTCGACAAAGCTGCCCAATCAAAGACTTGTTGTTGCTATGGAGACATGAGTGCGACTGGGTTTATAATAGACGATTGGTCGATTCTGTGGATCGTGAGCGTTATCAACAGACATTTGTTAACACAGTCAAAAAAGAATTTTCATCGTCTGAGCAGGTATGTTGAATGGAATGGTTCAGTGTCCAGGTCATGCCCTGCGGACTCAATTTCCTGAAGAAAGTGTACGGGTTAGGAGGATTTCGAATTAAATCACAACCAAATTTAAGCAATATGGTTAGCTAAAGAGGACAAACGCCTGCTGAATAATCCTTTCAAAAAGGCGGAAGCATGCAGTAATATTCACTATACAACTGTCTGGAAGAACGTGTATTTGTATATAATTTGCTTGAAGTTACATATGCTTGCATTCTCCTTGAAGTATTTCATGGTTTACCACATAATTATCCACTTTCATTTCTAACTGAATGATACGTTATAATATGCACCTAATTGACATAAATCTAGTAAATGTAAATTTTGATATATTTTAATTATGATCAGTGTCATCATCCCTTGCACTGCTGTGCTCGTTCTTTGTAGTTTTGCATGGCGATTAATATCAATTGATTTCTTCTTTGTGGAGAACAGCAAACTGCGTTCGAAAAAACCCATCGCGTTTTAATGTTCTTCGTCACTGTTGTCGGTCATAACTATTGATTAATATTAATATTATAAGACAAAAATATCTCGTTTTATGTAACGATGGTACATATTGCAGCCAGAATTATGCGGTTTTTCTCCCGACTATATCGACACTTTTTCCCGATAATCGAATATTACTCAGCCGGCTCGTGCCGCCTTTCTTGAATATCTTTCGTCGCTCGCGTGTTTGTGGCCTAGTTTGTTCCCGCCTACGAAACATATGTGGAGGAAGTAGCAAAACTTTGATCAAAGCTTTCGTTTGTCAACTTTCGTTAAAACCCCATTCCAACGAGTCCAACATCGTCCAACATTAATATTATTGGTCCAACGATGTTGGATGACATTGGAGAATGTTGTGTATAAGCGTGTTAAGTGATCACGTGCGTAATCGTCAAAATTAATGCTATAATGACCACTTGTCGCGTATAATCTTCAAATGCTAATGATCACGAGTAATAATCGTCAAATGCTAATGATCACGAGTAATTGTCAAATGTTGCAGAATGTTGTATGAAATTTTTAAAGAAAGCCAAACCCGATCCAACATATCTTCCAACATTACCAAACATAGTTCAAACGAAGCCACCATGTTGCATCCAACAATTTTGGATGGTGCTGGAGCATGCAACATATTGGTCTCGTTCCAACGGGCCTTTAACTGTCATGCTCATTCAAACATACCATATGTGACCCAATGCTTGAACGCATCGTTCTTGCTTTGAGGTGACCAAAACCTTGGCCAACGTTCGATATATGTTTCTAATTACTCGTTTCAAATACTGTAACATTCTGTAAAATTACGTTTAGGTTCAAATCATGTTAAGTGATGATGTGTTGTTCACCAACTTGGTGGAAGTGGAAGAGAGTGGTATGGCTGGGCCTGGGGAGAGTACTACAGGAGGTTGTGATGAGAACGTCCAACTTGCATATCGACCACTATATGACGTTAAAAAGGTACGTTAATATTTTTAGTTCAATTTATCAGCACAAACATAACATTTCTAACAGCTCTATACTATATGGGAATTTTCAAAAATTTAGTGGGGATTGAATTAGACTCGTTATCTTTCATCCTCACAGTCGTTTGATTTGAGTCATGTAACAGAAGTAAAAACCTATAATGCTCTTATAGTATCAATATTTGAAAATGAGGTATATTAAGCGAAGCTGAAAGTTGGCTGAACTGAAGTTTCCCGTTTTGAAATTGCTTACTTTTTTTACTATTTTTTTATTTTATTAAAATAGTATGTGGGTCCCTTACTACTTCACTTACCTGACCAGAACATTTCCCTAAACTTAACATGATTTCGCCTTTTTAGGTTAAAGCGGTGTTGAGTCATGGTATTGCCGAATATAATAAAGACTTTCCAAAAATCAAGTTGGCTTTGTACGATGTAAGTTGTACGCACCTATATAGTTGCATTTCCTTACTGAAACAAGCCTAAAACAGGGCATAAAAATCAAGAACAATCTATATAGCTCAATACAAGCTCGAAATCTTAGGACCCGTTTACACTTGCAATTTTTGCTGCGATTTCTGGTGCGATTTTCTTCTTCTGATGCATGTGAACGAGTAGATGAATTGTGAATATTCTGAGTATATTTATCATTATCAGTCGTCATCTGAACATTCATAGCTTATCCACTTGTTTACATCCATCAGAAGAAGAAAATTGCACCTAAAATCGAAGCGAAAATTACAAGTGTAAACGGGCCTTTAGTCCTTTAAGTATAGGTAATCATGCGATGGCGAGTACAATTAGGGATTAATAGTACGAGTGATGTTTGGAAATTTTGCCAAAATTGGACGAGCCGCCGGGGCGAGTCCAATTTGACAAATTTCCAAACATCACGAGTACTATTAATTCATAATTGTACGAGCAACATCGCATGATTACTTGTTTATTATTAGCATGACAAAATTGGATACTTCTCAATGTTAACATCATATATTCTCTCGCCAAAGCCCATTCCTGCCAGACTTTCAACCAAAATTTGGTGCTTTTGTCCGTATTTTTCATTTAGTTCTTTTGTTAAAGCAAAATGTGGTGCTTTTGTTCGTATTTTCATCTAGTTCCTCTATGGCATTTCATTTCACGCTTGTGTTTAAAATACCTTTCCGCCATTTTGTTTGTTTTGAAAAAATCATTAATTGTACTGCAGTACAATTAATGAAATAATTGTACTCCTCTCAACCAATCAGCATCCAGTAATTTTGTCATGCTAATAATAAACTCTGTTAGCGTACTAGATAACTTAATTTACAGCCTACCTATTCAGCTGACAATCAAATGCTCCAGAAATTATTGTGCGGTTGCCCCCCTCCCCAGCCCTGATTGCAAATGTTGGGCACACCAATTTGAAATCATTTTCAGTCCAAATGGATCATTTTGAGAATAACCGTTCGATACAATCCGGCTTAGCAACGATCTTTTCCTCAACCAACTTTAACAATACCATGAGTCGTATGAGTTGATAGTTTATACGATGAGAGCGAGTAGTGATATTCTTTTGTCAAACAGACGTTCACAGTATTCATAGAATCACTAGTTTAGCATTATTTTGACACTTTGTTCAGCAATCACCCATGTTGCAACTTAGCCAAACTCTTTTAGAATGTATATTTGAAAAATACATTCTAAAAGTGTTTTGCTAAGTTGCAACACGGAATTTTGTATGTTTTAATTCGTTCAAAAACTTTATGACTTTATTATTCTTTATGACATTAAAGCTAAATGTCTCAACCACGAAAACGAGACTTTTTATCCAAGGTGACGTACTTTCCAGAAATGTGTAGTATTTTGGAACAACATTGATGACAACTTGAGATTTATATGTATCTTTAGTTTCTTACTAAAAACGAGTACTTCTTTTCCCAAAGAGCTCATGAAAATATTTTCACTCTTTTGTCCATAATGGAAAGTTGAATGTTGTTCCATCATTTGAACGTTTTTCCAATAAACTTAGAGAAGCATAATATCCATTGTATATTGTATGAAACAAACAAATTGTGATTCCAAGTACCCGTGTCTGAAAAATTGTACCGAAGATTGTACTAAAATTCTATTTTCTTTCTGTTTAGGACACGATAGAAGCAATTTGTAGACTAGTTCGGGTGATTCAATCACCACATGAATGCAGTCATGCTCTGATTGTCTCTGAGGGTTCACCTGGTGCTACATCAAGTATAGTGAAACTGGCCGCGCATCTTTGCGGCTTTTCACTCTGTCAAATCAACGCATCCAGTATGGCAGGAACTGCATATTCAATGTCAAACTTCAGAAATTATCTCGTTAATGCATATAGAAGAGCAGGTGTCAAGGTACAACTTCTTCCATGTTGCGTATTTGCTGTCAATTAGTAGACCTTGTCATGTGCAAACGCAATAAGTTCCTGATCCTCTGAGTTCATACCTACTATATACTACAGCATAAAACCCTGACTAACAAAGTGTGGTCAAAGCAATTGGAAAAAGAGATATGTTCAACGTTTGTAGTTTAATCGGGAACATTTAGACGAAAAGTGCAACATTTGTTATTTTAACCTGCAACCTTGCCATCCTGTTCGACACTTAAAATACGAAAGAACTATTTTTTGGTAACGTGGGGATATTTCACTGCCACATATTTGGGCATCACACGGTATTTAATGAGATTTTCGAATATAATAGATATTTATGACAACCCATTATTACATGGTGTGATATGGCACTATATGAGCTATTAAAGTGCCTATATCACTTGTGGGACCTTTATGGATTTGAAAAGAGCGTAAAAAGTAGTTAATAAGTTCAAAAGATTTTTTTGATTAAGTGCAATAATTTCGAAGATACGGGCCTCTAAACTACCTGCAGTTCCTGAGTCCCAGGCTCCTATGCACAATGGACAGTTTGGGAAAAGGCCATATTCAATAGAAATGTTTAGAGTCCAGGAGGCTGGGACTCAGGAACAGTCCGTTGTTTAGAGGCCTGTATCCTCTAAACTATTGCACTAAATCAAAAAAATCTTTTGAACTTATTAACTAACTTTTTACGCTCTTTTCAAATCCATAAAGGTCCCACAAGTGATATGAGCACTTTAAATATCTCATAAACGGCCGGTTATTCAAATGCCGGTTATCGAAAAATGGCGAAAAAGTAAACATTCCAACCGCTTGTTTATAAACAAGGAAGTATTTTTAGACATATCTTGTCTGGATCGACAGAAGTTTTATTTCCCGAAATTTTGAAGTAAACAGACAAGCAGAAATGCACAAACCAAAACAGCGGGTTAAATTTTAACCCAGGGTTAGCAATATTCGAGCTTTGAACAACCGGTCCTTAATTACCAAGATTTTGCAAATCATATTAACAGAATAACAAAAGAATGGGGGTAAATTATTGTATACTAAATTCTTCGTCTATAGCCTCTATTTTATATGTTTGATTCGTTTGAAATCTCTTTATTTCATTAATTTTAGCGAGAAAAGCTTTTGTTGTTGCTGGGCGAGAACGACCTGGTAAACAAAGACATGATGGTATATATAAGTGAATTTCTTGTGTCCTCCTCTATTGCGCACTTATTCTCTGAAGAAGAGCGTACGTCGGCAATAAACTCAGTAAGATCAGACGTCACACAGGCTGGATTAACATACACCAAGGATGTAGCATGGAGTTTCTTCTTACGGTAAAACATTATTTGTTTTTTTCTTTCTGCTTATTAGAATATTGCCGTCGGTTAAATGGACAGGTTGCCAAAGTTCTGAAAGTTATACTGTAATGGCAATTTTGTTACACATTTTCGTATAGTTTAAACATCGGTGAATACAATAAGTGCAAAACTAGTGCTATTTATAAGCTGTTAATGCGACTTTTCAAACCGATTTTGCAAAAAGTTAAAATAGGTTTTAGTTTTCATGCAGCTTGCCGACTTGCCAGCTTGAACTTTAAGACTTTAAGATGAATTGAAGACGTCTGTAGGTTGGAGAGGCACTTCATCTTAGGGGCACTTCTTCTATTAGAAAAGTGCATTACTGTATTCCCATTGTTTAGGCTTAGGAAAAGGACACATTGAGGGAAACTTGGGGCCACATTCCCCAATGTGGGTCCGGTTCGTACGACCTACGACTATATACTATGTTACGTCATGATTATTGCGTAAACTCTCCACCAATTTTGGACTAATTCCTGGATATATATTAAGAATTAAGAAAAAGACATATCGATAGTCCGTATACACGCACTTAGAATAAAAGGTTGAACTTTTCAGAATCTGGACTATTAGGTTGCTACGGCATACGAATAGAAGAGTTCTCCAATAATATGCTAATTTATGAACTGTAATTATATAAATTAGGGAACTTAAATTTATTTCAATTTTCAGGACTGTAAAGGAGAACTTGAGAATGATTCTCTCTGTTTCATCGCCTGGATCAAAGTTTCAACAGAGATGTAGAGATTTTCCCGGACTAATTAATGCCATTTCCATCATGTTCTTCCCTCATTGGTCAAGAGAAAATTTGGTATCACGGGCAAGTTACTTGTTGCGAGGTAAATCTTCCATGTAGTATCCATGGCAGCATGCATTGGTCTAAAGTCACAACTTCTTTTACAATCAAAATACAAGAACCTTCTCACATCCGCTTCTGTAATCTGTTGCAATTCTCTGTAAATTGTTCTGTTTTTCTGTAGCGCGGTTCCCAAATTATGAGCAAATATGGCGACAAAATTTAATTTTCTTTTACATGATAATTTTTTTACATGATAATTTGCAGGCTCCATTTTTCATTAGATTCACTGGCACTGCATTGTAACACATAAAAGGTGCGGGATTCAAGGTAACCGTTACTGTAATAATACGCAACAAATTACAGAAAATGTCAACAGACTAGAGAAGCGGAAATGGGAAGGTTCTTGTATTTTGACTGTATACAGCGTCGTGTTTTTTTTCAGGTAGTTGCATACCTATACCAACGAATGCTTGTTCACGTTAATTTATCAGTCTATTACTAAGTAAAGGGTCTTACTCATCATCTAACTCATCTCCTTTTTATCTAACTTAAAGTTTGTAACACTCCTTGGTTATGTGAAATCTCTTTTAGATATGGAATTATTTGATATTACTGGCAAAGAAAATATGGCACATCTCTTTGCCTCTATTCATTTGTCACTGAGAGAGCATGATCCGAGCGAGGATACAAGCGGCTTTTACGGACATATCACCAATACAGTATTCGAGAAGTTCGTGGAGCGGTAAGGAATACTTTCACAGATTTTTCAATATTTGAACGATTGGTCACCTTGGCTATAAAGTCTCGCAGTGTTACTAAACCTATTAAAACGAGTCTTGATTTAAGCGACTTGAATGCCATGGTACTGAACTTAATATATTGCATGAAATTTAAGCCAAAAAATTTTAAGAGCTACGATTTCCAGCAACAAAAGATGGTCATATGGAGGCAACCTAAATTCGACACCTCCCCCCCGCCATAATATTTCGCGGCGAAGTGTCCGCCACTGTATCTTCGCCGTGCAATTTATAATATCCTGAACCAGTATATTATAGTGGGTAACACCCAATTTATAATATCCTGAACCAGTATATTATAGGTAACACCCAGTCATTTCCTAGCCATCACCAGGTTTCAAATATTTGTGGGGATGTCACACAATCCCAGAATGAATCATATCATTCTGCGCCAATATTTTTGTCCACATGACTTTTTATACTTCTTAGATTTAATAACTTATTCACGAAACGATACATATCCATCCATGAAGAATATGGACGTATGGCTTCCGCTTTAGAAAATATATCAAAGGCAGCAGAACTGGCTGGTCAGCGGCTGAAACAGCTCGAACATGAAAAAGTTGTCTTAGATCAGAAAAAGGAGGTACATGCGATGTTCAGATTTAATGCCACATGGAAGCACTATTGCTTGTTGTGTTTAATGAAAACCTGGAAAAGTTACCATTATTTTTTTCAAATTGCACGAGATTTCATCGTTGTGTCATAAGACACAGAATATGATTATAAGATAAAGACAATCTTTTTATCAAATGTTTTTTTTAAGTAGATAACGGTTTTAACCAGAAAACGGTTTCCTTCATAATAATTATTTTGTTTCAATTTGAAAAATTGCAAGGTTTTTTACCGAATGAGTTTTTTAACACTGAATTACATTTTGTATTTCAATAAAATTACGATAATTTCGGCCAACTTGAATTAAAAACGAAATCTAGATGTTTACCAAAACGTTCATTTAGTCAAATGTATATCGGCTATTTTAAATCTACGCGCATCTAATATTTCAATAATTTAGAAATTAGCACTGCAGTCCGTCTTCATTTATACTTGAATGTGCACATTTCTACCTATGCGCAGGATTCCCCACTCACATGTTCATGTTGTTACTTTTCGAAAATTGTACAATGTGTGTACTTGCTGTCAAACGCCATGTGTACTGCTGTGCATTTTTCTTTGACTTTGTTCTCGCTTTTTTTTCTTCCTGCTGACAACAATTGTTTTTAACTGTTTTAGAGTAATCTTCAGCTTTTATCTCAAATTGGTCAGGTATGTGATCTTATATGTTAGATATATTTGCATTTTCCAAAATAGATTAAGCAGTGTGAATTATAGCTGTATTCCACGCCAACTGAGAAAGCTGAATTTCCTTCAAAATGGTGGGAGATATTTTTGGCGAAACAGTAGTTTTCGTTAATAATTGATCAGTTTTTTATTTGAACCTCCTCAGGACAAGGCGATTGCGGAAGAGCAGATTAAGTTGATTACGAAGCAACGTCAAAAGATGTTTCATTTGCAGAAGGTAAGTTGGCGTGCGAAGATATTTCATTTTATGGAAGTTCATTCCTTGAGTTAGATCGCATGGGCATTCTCTGACAAAAGGCCTTCGTTCGAAACGTCCGAATGGTTTTCGAAAACTAGTACCCAGTAATTTACACCGCCGGGCTCACCCGAAAACCGCTTTTAAATATTTTCGTTAGGACTCGGATTCCATTAGTTGAATCACACAAAACGAAGAAACAGAATTCACAAATTTTATAATTTAGCCAGTTATATGAAAAGTGGTTGAAGTTTACTATGATTAGTGTGCCGTTTAGTGAACCAGTCAGAATCATTTAGTTTATATAGAGTTGTTCTAATTTCAATTATAGACTACCTAATGGTTTAATAATTTGATGCAATTGCCTCCTGATAAGATAGTTGGCCAAATATAATTCTTTATCTTTCTCGATCTCTCTTTATAGGCATTGCCTAAGTTTAAAGAGGCTCATGAACGTTCGGTTTTCAAAGCAGCTGCTGTTGTGTCAGACGTCAAGCGTATGCTACGCCTGCTGAATATTAAGGCACTTGGAGAGCTTCGGGCGATACAAAAACCTGACCCAGAAATTGAAGATATTTTGGCAACTGTCATTATAATACGTAAGCTTTGAGTTTAAAAAGTTTAAATCTGCTATTATTGCAATATATAAAGTAGTCTGTTTTACAAAACCTTATTATACAGTTTATTTTCATCTGACAATTACCTTTTTACTTTACTTTACAATCCACTTTGTTACGCTATATCACATTAGAATAGATGATACATCACTTTCCTCCGCAGAGTCTATGAAACTATTTATTAATAATGGTATTAAACTCAGATATTGTAGTGGTAACGTAGGGATAGTAGGGGACATTCACGCGATTTGACCAACAAATACAATACGTAATTTGTATGCCTAGTGGTATTACGTAATTTGACTAAACATTCGTAAGGCTCTGCGAAGGTGAGTGCATGCATATTTCAAATTTCCATCTTCTTTATCATCGTGATACTGTAGCTATATTTTCTGTCATATTTTCGTATTTTCTATTCCAGTTAAATCTCCAACATCTGACCTAACTTGGAACAAAGGTGCAAAACGAATAATGGCGAATTTGGACAGGTTAATGCTTCAATTATGTTCATTTGTTACCAACACTACAAGATAATATTTTGGCAACACCGTTTTGTTTCGCGCGCGGACGTATACGTTCGGACTGTTATGGACAAGGCAATTGTCTCCTTGCATGACCACACGTTGGAAACCACGTATTTCTTTGTTTAGATTTTGTGGTGATCTCGCTATGTTTGACGACCTGGATATAACAGAAAGCACGTTACAAATACTGGATACATATTTGGGCAAGCCACACTTTGATCATGTATATATGAATAACAGAACTGAAAACCCAGCTCTGGTCATGTTGGTTAAGTGGGTTTCTGGGGTCTCAAAGTAAGTAAGCAACTGTTGTTCATGCAATGGTAATTTTTCGTTATATACCATTCATTCCATACATTTCATTTTGTCATACATTTCATTTTTTCATTTTATTTCCATACATTTCATTTTGTCCGACCTTATTCCTGTCGAGGTTTCCTCTGTTGCTTGCGGTTTGGTTTCCGACGTATAATAAATTTTCTTTGGCCTGGTGAAACAGTTTTTAATTAGGTTTTTGTGTGCAGGGCACCCAATGACCGGCTGTTTATCAAAAGTTCAAGTAAAGAATGATTCAAATAAATAGTTGTCGTACAGTACTTCTGAAGTATAGCAATTTAAGATACCGACTGCGAACAAACGATTATGTTCTGACGACCTGTTGTATATATCCGTCGTTGAATACATTGTGCATAGTGTCCTAAAAATGCGCCCCTCCCGCCCCATTACTGTATTTTGAGGTACTGTCACATTAATTAACGTCATGATATTTTAAGTTGTTTTTCTGGAGTGAAAACCATATCAAATTACTTAAAATGGCACCACCAATATTCATACTTTGTTTCATCAAAACATCAAAGTTATTTTAAAAGTTATTTTACCCAATATAAAAACCTACAACTTATACAAATCAAAGCTACAGCGGACCATTAGAAAAATGATGGGGGAGGGGTTGGATTTTGCGGAAGTTTAAAGGTATTTTTTTATGCTTTCCTCTTTTCTTTTGTTTTCCTTTGCGCGAAATGTCCCCCCCCCCCCCTCCATCACGTCTCTAATGGTCCACCCGTTATCAGACACGGACATTCTTTGGGACATCCAATTATGGTGCAGTTACAATAATTATTATTCACATTCAATTCTCTTAGGTATCACCAAATGATGATATCCAAAGTTAAACCACTTCACAACAAGGTGGAAGACACAACAACAACCGTAAACGAAGCCTCTGGTAAACTGGCTATTTTACAAAATAAACTGGAAGATCTGGAGGCACGGCTTAGTTCACTGGCAAAGGCGTATGAGGACGCATCCATAGATAAGTGTCGACAGTTCAAACTTACTCAGAAGTTGAACCTACAGCTAGAGCGTGCTAGCTATTTTGAAAACGTAAGAATGGTATTATCAGTTTATAAACACACCCGAATAAATGTTCTATCTTGAAACTCAAGAGGCAATTTTTATTACCAGTCTGTTTTATCATTTCTTTCAAGCTTAGCTCTATGCTAATCTTTTTACAAACGCAAAAAATGTAAAAAAACATCTCCCTCGTATTGCATGAAAATCCAACATTTAAAAATGTTAACTTCGCCCTTTTCTATTGTTATATTATTAGTAAGTATTGCAGGTTTTACATTATATCAAATCCCAATCGTTATTCAGGTCAGCCAGTAGTAGAGCTGTGCGCCGGAGTGCTGGAGCCGGAGCTCCGGCATATTTTGCCGGAGCCGAAGTTGGAAAACTCCGGCAAAAACTCCGGCAGACAAAATTATTAAAAATTATTTCATATTTCAATAAACATTTGGTATTAAATGGAAAAATTAAGTTGGGCTAGTATTCCAAAGGTCGTAGGTTCGATTCCCACCGTGGTCAGGCATATTTTTCAAGCTTACCCGGTGTGGATATACACTCAGAGTAACATCACAAGCATCAAAATTAAGTTGTTGTTTACTAATATATTACTATTTATATGTTGTTTTACTATATATATCACTATGTTTACTATTAATAGTGTTGTAAAAAGGTGTTTAAAAGAGATAAATTCTGAAATTACACTGAAATACTTTCGCCTGCTTCCACTTTTAAATATGAAATTTCATTAAAAATTTCTTGCCGTAGTTTTGACTGCCGGAGCCGGACCTAAAATAACCGGAGTTTGCACAGCTCTAACCAGTAGTGAGTCAAGGAGGAGGACTGGTATAGGTTATTTACAACCGCTAAACTGCATGTTTATTACTATTTGTATAGGTACTATCAAAAGCTCGTGAAAAGTGGACCCAGTTTCTTCAAACAATCAGCAATCGTGAAGCAGCTATTGCCGGTGCTGTCTGCATGGCCGCAGCTTTTGCTACGTACCTTGGCCCATATAAGCACTCTTTTAGACGTGAGATGTTGACAGTTCATTGGCCAGAATGTTTACAAGAACGCGGTGTACCACTTTTGTTGGAGGATGCACCACACACAGTGATTGATACAGATTACAAAGAGGACATCGCTGAACAAGACACTGAGGTCAGTTTCAAGCAGCTATATAGTATTTGGCTGTATAGGTAACAATAGCTAATGTGTACTTTATATAGACCCTTACATAGGTGGATGATTTTGATTGATACAGAAATGAGGCATACGTCAGAATTTACTGTAATAAAATTATATCAATTTTCACTGTATAATTTGGGCCATGATTGAAAACTGACATAATAAGACTACAAGGTTTGATCAACAACATTTCTGTTCCTCTCATGTTATATATATTATATTACTCTAGTTGTCTGATAACGAAGAAATGGATCAATCAAAACATACGTTAAGTGTTGAAGAAGAAACTCATTCTGATGGTGAAGAAAAGGTGTTAAGTTATGAAAGGGTGAAATCTCCCGAAGATGCGCACTCCCTTGAACTTGAATCTTCAGATCTTCAGAGTCATGCAGATGAAGAACAGCAAGCCGACCAAGACGATGTTGCAAGTATGACTGAAAAGACGAGACGTACATCGAGCGGAATTCTATCATTAAGTTCGCCCAAATACGACGCCTACCTCCTTTCACTGATAAAAAATCTGGTCGGCGATCATCAAGTACGGCAGTGGTTAAATTTGGGCATGGGAATGCGCGTGATGGAGAATGCAAGCATCAGTATGGCCTCGTGGCAGCGCCCACCGTTCTTAATTGATCCGCATGGCAGAGGCCTGGAACTAATTAGGCGAATGGAAAAGCACGAAAAAGTTGTGGAGATCGATGTTGGTGATGGGTAAGCAATACTTAGTGAGATCCATAAATTATAACGAAGTATCATCAGGTACCTGAATGAAAAGTGAAGCCAAAGACTGTGGACATTTGATGTTAGTCAACGTTACCGAATACGTCCGCACGGGCGAGTAGGGGAATGAAACTGACATCCAACACCAGTTTTGGGTTATTATAGTACCAGATCCTATAAGGTAGTACTGACCCAAGAATTCTCTGCCGCCAAAGATGTTCACGCCTGAAAAACTGTGAAAGTGCCTAGCATTACCGTTTTTCGTCCGAACAACCAATTACAATATTTTAATTTAGTTACCTATTCGTAACATAAACAACAGGTGAATTTAACTATCACTGTTAGTTGATTTGACGAAATTACAATACATGCACACATGACCACGGAGGATCATATTTTTGTAAAATCCTGGATTGGCATATAGATAATAGCTTTTATAACTTGTTCGATTTTCATCGTTGTTTGCATTCTATTAAATGTGGTGTTGCATTTAAATTAGTTGTCCGTTAAATTTCTTTAATGTCCAAACGGACTTCCTTTTAGTATTAAAACCTTCAGTCATTAAGTAAAGCTCTTTGGACCTTTGATATTAGACGACTTACTGACCAAGGTATAGTTTTGTAATCCGCGGTGCTATGTGGTAATGTGGTTACTGGAGCTATTAAACCAACTTTGTTTTCTTTATTTTGCTACCATGTAGTATATCAGCATCCTTATTCAGTTTCATCCAAATTAGTTAATTTTATTTATTTTAGTGATGTAACATCGTTAATGCACATTGAAAAGGCCATTACATCAGGAAGTGTCTTAGTTCTACATAACGTGAATGAACATGTAGATTCCATTTTCCTACCGCTGATATATCGCATAAATACTAACACGAAAGACGGTATATGTGATGGTAAGTATGTACTGATTCTAGCATGGGTAATACAGATTTGATATTTATCATGGGTTCATGCTTCACAATCAATTTATCTTATTCGTAAAAGTAAGTACAAGAATAGAGATAGTATAGTTTCATGGAACAAGTATTATCATCTTGTAACAAGATTGATGAGGCTAACAGTCCCGCACTAGTTGTTCCAATAAGTCTGATATTGTCGGCACGTAACATGTTGTTAACAAGTTGATGATAACAACAAGCTCGTAGCAACTTGTTTCGAACAGCCTGTATTAGTCTTGTTCGAACAACTTGCAGCAAGTCTGTTACCGTCATCAACCTTGTAATAACCTGATAACAACTTATTCCAGACAACAACTGGGAACAAGCAGTGCGAACACATCCTGACATCGGCTTGACAACAACCTTTGTTACAACTTAAATTGTTTGCAGATCTGAAACAATTTGCGCGTTTTTACCTATATCAAAGAAAGGAGTTTAATCGTATGTACAGCAGTTTCACTTTCCTTAAACAACGAGTAAAGAATCTGAGAGTGAATAAAAGTCTAAAATCGTCAACCTTCGGAGCTCTTAATAGCTCGTACACTCCATAACAGTTATATAGGTTTCAAAGAATGTAAAAAACTCGAAATTCGATCTACAAAATTCTTTCACCAGTTCTTTCGAGTGAGATGCCCGAAATCCTGATATCTTTCTGCAGAGTTTAATCTAGATAGTATAAGCGTTTATTTAAATTTATATACGTTTGATTCAATCTAATGAAAGCCATAGCTGGAAAGAGCATCTTAAAATGAGTCGGGGTCGTTGTTTAAACACGGGGCATCTAATGGAGCCATAGCTGGAAAGAGCATCTTAAAATGAGTAAAAGTGCAACGTTGGGTTGCGAGGAAAATATAGCCCTGTGAAGTTAGCAAATTTTGTATATATTTGCATTACGCGCGGGAAAATAACCATTTTTGAGCCGAAAGTGGTTATTTTTACCAATCTTTGCAGTTTTTTACTCATTCTAAGACGCTTTTTCTAGCTGTAGTGTTGGATTTCGCCCTTATTGCCTTGATAAAAATTTAGTCTATAGCCGCTGGAATCACCCATTATATCGCTCATAGCATTCATGGGGAATGTAGGCGAGAAGTAAAATTATAATAATGACTATAATAATATTATAGACGAGTCAATAATTAGTTGTAATAATTAATTGTGTGTTTAATAATTAAATGTGTGTTTTCTTTTTCCAGGTTAGGATTAGGGTTACAGTTGGTACATATTTGTGTCCTATCATAGAAAACCACTATCTTTTTAGGGGCCATTCACAAAGGATGTCCGACCAAATGATGAATTTTCAGACCCCTCCCCCCTTGTCCGGCATTGTCTGAATTAGTGGACCCCCCTCCCCCCGGACATCCGCCATGCCTCGCAAAAACTCACGCAACCTTGTATATGTCAAGAGTAAAAAACTTTTTTTTTACTTTAGAACTTTTTTATAACTATAAATGTGAATACAAAAACATATAAATTATTATAAATTAATACAAAATTTAGTATTAACCGCATAGTCCTTATATATAAAAGAATCACAGGTAAGATTACATTTATAATTTTTTTTAAATTTCGGACATCCAGATTGCTAAAAAAAACCCTCCCCCCTATTTCCGAGTTTGTCCTGATTTTCCAAACCCCTCTCCCCCCTCGGCTCGGACATCCTTTGTGAATGGCCCCTTACTGATTCTAGAGCTTGGAGCATTGCTTTGATATAAAATATAATAATTACTTTCCCTAACATGAATATTGACACGAAATTTAATTTTTAAAAAATTGCTTCGACTCCTACATTTCTCTATCTAGATCTCCAGTCAGTTAACTGCGGTGGACGCCGACTCAGTTGTCATCCAAGTTTTAAACTCTACCTGCTGACTAGTTCCCATACCATCTCATTCACGCCAGAAATAGGGTCAATCACAACACTGGTTAACTTCACCCTGGAGAACGAGAGTTTTGCCGAAGAGATATTGTCTTTGTCGTTGTCACGTGTTCAACCTGAGATATCACAGGAGAGTAAGAAGACGATGAATGCTCTGATGGAAAATCTTGTCATCTTAGGAGACTTGGATAGTAAGATCATAACAAGGTTAAGTCATCGTCAAGGGACAAATGTCTGGGATGATACTGAACTTATTGCCGATATGGTCCAGTGTAGGGCTCAGGTATGTTATTTTTCTAAACCGTAATGCTTGTGAAGTCCTATAGGATCGAGTTCTAATGAATTTTTCATAGTTCAGACTTCAGTGCTACCACAGTATCTGCATCGTCAGTCTCTAACAACGGTTTTAGCTGAAATCTTGTTCTCCTATTCGAAAGCGAAGGGTTGAGTGTTGGGGACACTTTGTACAAAGGCCGGGGAAGAGGTTATATCCACCGACCTTTGAGTTTTTGGATCTAGCTTTCGTAGATGTAGTGTTTGTAGATGTAGCGTTTTTGAATGTAGCGTTTGTAGATGTAGCGCTTTTGGATATATTGTGAGCATCGAATCCCTACTCTAACGATCTTCATTGTCCGGTGGATAACGTACTTCAAGTTCATCTTATCATTATACGCGCACACCCGATAATCTTTATATACATGAAACTACGGTTAGAGCTCAACAACTGGACTCTGTAGCTCAGTTGGTTAGAGCGCTGCACCGGAATTGCAGGGCCGCAGGTTCGATTCCTGCCCGTATATAGTATATACTCACTTGGGTTATGCCCCAAACCCAGCATTCGATAACGTACTTAATCTATCCGTACTAACATGCGCCTGCTCTCTTTCCAGTCCCACAACAGGATCAGATTTTCGCCAAATATGTTAGGGAAATATTTTATAATCTCGCGTTTTTGACCTAATTATATTCTTTCTATGTTACTGTATTTCTTTAGATAACAAAGCGTCTTGAGAACGCGGTGCGGCACCTTGATAAGGTTGGCCGACTGAAGCAGAAATACGCACCATTCTCGCAACTCGTCACTGTCTTATTCAATGCAATAAATTCATTATCAGCCCTCCAACATGAGTACCGTTTTTCCATCGACTACTTCTTAAAGCTGTTTGATATAGCTCTGTGTAAAGTGATTCCAACTACTGAGGTTATTACAGATACAGACGAGTCTGTGGACGAGAAAGAGAATGATACTTTGTCAAGGAACATTATGATTCAAGTTGTAGATGAAGAAGGAAATGCTACTCAGCACAAATGGATCGATGGTGAGCCTTATCAATTATTACTTTATATAGAAGGTCAAATCCAAACGTGGCCCTTTTGTGTTGTTATTTGACAGCGGGTGCATTTGCAACTGCGCAATTTCTATTTTTCATCCAGTATCGTTCTTTTGTAACATATGTACGATACAATAAAGTTTTCTTATTTAGTAATAACACAAAGTAATCAATTTGTTCTATAATTTTTTACTCGTTTAACCAGAATCTTTCTTTGGACTTCGTAGAATACTTTGGACTTCGTAGACTACCTACTCTGAATTTTTCATTACTATTTTCCCAAATGAAGGTGTTTCAGTATATATTATGGCAGTTTTTTACAGTGATAACAATAATGGATCACGTAATATTAGTTACTGTACCCTATCTTCTGCACTGTCTGGTCTGTATGAGGCATTCGCGGTTACTGATGTCAATAGAGTTCAATAACCATCTGTTAAAGGACATTGGCAGTGAAAATTTAGTTTGTATCATCGGAGGGCGCTTTAAAATTAATTATAATGTCTTGATGTCTTGCTTGATTCTTGAAATATTTGGATTGAAAACAATGAGCAGCTTGTCATCTTGGATTATTCGAAATATGCATATGTTACGTCAAATTGGGGTCACGCATATTTTTTATCTTGACAGCCAATGTCCAATATGAGCCCAAAACTCGTTTTTGGTTGCTATTTCGGAATTGGTTAGGAGCATTTTGAACAACTTCTGATTTTACTCGATCAAGGTTAACACCACCCTTGATGTGATCAAAATCATATGTAGTTAATAAGGTGAAGAGTTAATCGAAGATGGTTAAAATATTGTGGTTTCAGTTAAAATATTCCAACTGCAACAAGATTTAATACGTAATTTTGAACGTTCTTGTTTTTTAACTTTTACATTTCCTGTCAGTTAATTGTATGATTTATGAAATAAGTTTGTTGGATTTGTAGGTGATAAAGACAGCGAAAATATTCAAGGTCGGAATGCTTCAGTAATTTTACCTCCCGAAGTGGAACTTCCCACACCAAACATTGCATACGAAGAAATTTCAGATGACGTCATCGGTCAACTGATTGATGAACTTACAAAGGGTGTTTTTGAAAGCCTATTCAGGTAATGAAATTATCTTTTTATACTCTAACAATCATTCGTTCGCTTAAATTTTTAAGTTGTTACATTCTCTTGTTTAATAATCTTGGCCCATCGTATTTTTATTGAATTAATCATTGTTTTCACATCCTACACGATGGAAAAATATTCAGATACCGCTCGCACTATTCAAGTTTTAAGAAACATTGCATTCCTTCACCACTTAATTATCTTTACGGTATTTTGTGATTGTAGATTGTAATTTGTGGTAGGTTGGTGTAAATTCTAAATTGTTCAATGTGTTTTTAGGAGTATATACAGCCATCATCGTCTCACATTTGGTGCACTGTTATCTTCTGTGATCCATCAACATACTACACATGACGATGATTTTGACAAACGCATAGAATACCTAATTACTGGTGGTAAGTGGCGGTTCGATGTGTTTCTGTGTGCTCTAGGATGTCGAGAGTCCTTGGAGTTCCGGAAACAAATCTTGACTCCGTCCTTGAATGTCCTTAAAACCCTGGGCTTTCCTTCCAGCGATCGAGATAACATCATGTTTTATCTGAATAAGTATATTATTTGTCATCTCAAGGGCATGAAAATTATGTGTCACGCGCGTGCTTTCCATTTTATTAGCGTTTAACAATTCGAATGGCACGTATAATTGAAACTACAGTACAGTGTAATAAAAATAAATTACCCATAAATCGCGTTTGTTACTTCTTCATTTTTAGGGTTAGTCGGAACTGATCATCTCACTCTAGCAGACTTTGATCCGACTCTTCTCACCCCGTCTTGGGTACCACCTGACCGCTGGCAGAGCTTACTCAGTTTGTCCACTTTACCTGGTCCGTTAGAAGGATTGTGCACAAAGGTTTCCAGCGACCCAAAATGGCAAGAGTGGTACTATCACGAACGTCCGGAAAGCTTACCTCTTCCTGGTATTGATCAGGAGGAAGAAGATCATCAGGAGAACGAAGTTGGTGAAGACGAACAAACACAGAATACGATGACCGATTTTCATGGTTTATTAATTTTGCGTTGTCTACGCCCTGACAGAATTACTTCAGCAATGAGGGAATACGTTGGGGAAATTTTGGATAATCTACAGGCGCAAATTTATCTTTCACTCCCTGAGATATTGAAACAAATCGAGCACTCTATTCCTATTTTGATTCTCCTGCCTGATAATTCCTTCCGCGAGATGTCAACGGATTCACCGGCGAAAGCTATACTTCAGCTTGCAGAGGTACAGTAGACGCTATCGTTAATATTGGTTTATCATCATTACTTTGGTTACGGTGCCCCGCGCACGTTTGAATCGAAGGGACTTATTGATTATTATACATTACACTTATAATTTAACTGCTATAATTGTGAATGGGAAAACGAGAAATCATTACATGTAAGCTAACAACTATGAGCTTCCAGTGCACGAATTGACAATAAATGGAATGTGAAAGAGGAGCGTGACTTTCTTCCTCTAACAATGGGAAGGGGGCCGGGCTTATTAGAGAAGGGATGGATTATTTGTTATTAATTGAGATTGAGGCGTGATAAAGAATTAACGCTATCTCAAAACCATTGGACGTAACCCTGAATAGCAATGTAGATTATGTGGCATGTGCAACTGGTATGGATGTATTTCAATGACCCTTTTTATTTGCACTCACGGCACTCCGGGGTACGGAACAAACAGACTAGCTTATCCAAGTACTATACTGTACGCTCGATTAAACGCAACCTTTTTCTATATTTTAGAAAGAAAATATACCTTGTCAGCGACTGATCGTTGCTAGTGGTCATGAAAATACAAGTGACATCGCACTTGCAACAGCCGTTCGTTCTGACAGCTGGGTTATCATTGAAAATATCCATTTTGCAAGTTCTGCTTGGCTAAGGCAGCTCTATATCCGTTTGGAAAGGTTACGCTCTCAAGCAGGTATACGACGTTATTTGAGTACACCAGCAACGTTTTGTCATGAGTGAAGCATAGAAAACGATTTACTTTTCCGTGTTATCGTAAACGTGGAATCTAAAAAGTTTGACAGCTTTGAAATTGACACTAACTAAATGCTTGTCGCCGTATTAAAGATGCATGAATATATAATTAACCATATTTTATCGTTGAAACATATAAAAGTTGGAACTACTAGTCTTTTAAAATGCTACTGTATCTCCTTTTCGGGCAAATCAGACTGCAGCTTATAGGAGATGGTCATTGTCACGTGAAATTTAGTAATAAAGTTTTACACTGTGCGACGGGATAGATTTTATCTTATGATCATTTAGTCTCCTAAACCCAGGGTTCCCAACAGAGTTGCAAAAAGTGTTCAACAATATTCAAGTCTTCAAATCTTCCTCAAAATAATGTGAATTATGGCTTTTTCAAACCAAACTTGTGCTGTGCGCCGGAGCCGGAGTTTTGGCCTATTGTGCCGGTTTGTTCAACTCCGGCAGCACTTACACTACAAACTACTGTCGGACATCGGCGAAAAAGCATGATATGCAGCATGACATTTAAAAAAAAAAGCATGATTTTCAAAAAGCATGAAAAAAGCATGATTTGCAGCAAGATATTTCGAACTTGAACAATTGGAGTCATAACTACTGTAACATGAAATTTAACGCCTCCAAGTGTATTAACAATAACTCGAAAGAAATCATCTGTAATTACTGACTATCACCAAGAACAAGATCTGGGAATTATTGTCAAAAGCAACTTATCCTGGGATTCTCACATTTTCTCAATCGTCAGTAAAACCAACAAGATGCTTGGTATCTTAAAGAGAACTTGTCCCCTGATTAGAGACACTAAAGTTAGGCGAACACTATATCCGACTTTGGTAAAACCAAAGTTGTGCTACGCAACGGAGGTGTGGTCCCCAGCTAATGTGAAGCTACAAGTTGCATTAGAAAGAGTTCAAAGGCGCGCTAAAGTAAAGTTGGAGAAATGTCTTATGAAGATAGACTGAAAACTCTCAATTTATTGCCACTAACTTACGATCGAGAAATCAGAGATCTTGTTCTGGTCTATAAATGTATTTTCGGCCACACTGATTTGAACATTGAACATTTTGTGTTATTTATACATCATAATCGAACTCGTACTCAGAATCCATCTCTAATGTTAAAATCTCCTTACTGTAGAACATCCACTTTCCAAGGATCGTTCTTTGACCGATTAGTTAAAACTTGGAATAATGTTGGAAAAATAGCCTCTCCTGAAAAGTTCCCAGTTTAACAATTTTTAAAAGCTTTCTGCATGTGACGTACACCGCGTTGGTCAACAGTACTTTTAATGTTGATATGGCATGCACTTGGTCGCTCACAAGAGACTGCCCCTGCCACCGTTCTTAATATGCATGTTATGTAATATATATTTGTATAGTAAATTAGGTTGGGTTTTTTTTTCCTCTTTTTTTTTGGAGGGGGTGCGCCTAGCATGGGTCTCGTTGTCCCGTTTGCGCTATCCCCTTTGGACTTAAACTTGTAAATGTTTCTACTATATTTGTCCAATAAAGCTGATAAATTAAATTAAAATTAAATTAATTAAAAACCTGAATCCATCGACGAAAAAATGAACACTCGCATTGATACTGCGTAGGCTTGCCACAAACATAGTACGAAATGTTCATACGAAGTGTTAAAATAAAGAAACAAAGATAGTGCTTACACTTTGAAAAGTGAAATTTCCATTAAATTTCGAATTTTCACGAATTTACCGGAGGTGGAAATTTTCTGACGGAGCCGGAGGTGAAAAATCCGGAGTTTGCACAGCACTAACCGAAACCACAATAGGTCTTTCAATCCCAACGACACCGAACTCGAAATATATTTGGAAATTAAAGGAGAACAAACAAGCAATTTTTACTTAACAAAAATAGTTTCGACATGTCATCATAAAAATAAATTTCTAGTAAACAATGATAACAATGAAAGGAATGCATGTATTGTTTGACGCCCATGTTTCCGACCGTAAACATTTAAGCAGCCCACTTTTCGAAATTTGTCAGCCACCTGAGTGATGATTCCTCTTGGATGAAACAGGCTGTTGTGGCGCAACTTGTTGAGGTAAAACAACTATGTATATAAGCCTCCTACTCCAAACCCTGGGAACCCTGTAAACCAATGTGATGGCTGCAGGCGTAATGAATCCCCTTGGTTTTAACAGTGTTTGGATTTTGTTATTTTTTTCTAGAAACTGCATCATCCCCTGGTCAATGGCGTGTTTTCCTAACAACAAAACCAAGTCTGTTACTACCAGAATCACTTCTCTACCTTGCCCATCCTCTCGCCTGGGACTTCGTACAAATGGAGACCAGTCAAGTTGACATAGATGTGCGTTCATTTGATGATCGCCTGAATGTTGATCTGCTTTCGACTATAATAACATCGCTAAAGGTGAGTAAGGTTTGATGCTGTATGCGGCAATGATATAATTATGAGTTTCCCCTTGCCGCATTTTATCGTTGAGTTATGTTGTTTGTTGTCACAGTATTTTTTGTCACAGTTTTGTACAGCATTGTAGGCTATGGTATGATATTGATTTAGTCAACATCAAGATTGCCCAAAATCTTTGTGGTTAATGCTCGGCAACTTGACTCTGTAGCTCATGCGCTGCACTGGACTCTGCAGCTCAACGCGCTGCACTGGAATTGGATATCTGCCGAAAGGCCTAACGTTGCACTTATCGCAGCTGCTCCCGGATATATAGGTCTATAATTGTACATAAATTTTCGAAAAATTCCATATACAAATAACTATCTACATTATGTAGATGGTTATTTGTAGATGGAATTTTTTAATATATAAATGATTGATTTGGTACAATATATAGCTATTACGCCATATTTGCATAAAATATTATGAGATATGCATAATTGTGGTCTGCTTGTGGGTATATGATGTGGTTTATTATTTAATTAAAATAATTCATGATTTCTGATTTGCTAACAGCCAACTGTGAAATCGTCATATCATATAATAATTGTATTGACCAAATATGGAGTTTTGACATAATATTCAACGGAGTGACATCGTAATGTTGATATGAAAAATAATATTAAACGGTATGACGTCACGCTAATGACGACTGACGAACTAGTGAGGAATGGCTTCATACAATCAGCAGCTGTTTCATCTAATAAAACAATTATTGAATTTCATTTTTGAAAAACATTTTTGAATTTGGTTGAAAATGCTCAACCTCATTCAATAATTGTTAAAAATGATTTATGGTATATTTTATGCTATAATGTATAATGGTCTAATGTTATGTATCCAATTTAACAATTTAGTGGAGTGGAATGAATTAGTATTGTATTGCCGCATGTATTGGATTTATGGAATGATATGGTGTGATGTTACGTACCAGTGCTTGTTTCTGTCTAATATGTTTTGTTAAAAACTAAGTATCTTCATTGTTTAGAGAATATCCTTGATAACGTGGGAAGAGGTGAAGCGTGGATCTTTGTTCGTTCGTACAACAATATTTCGTTTGTGCATCTTACATGGTATATTATGCGCCAGACAGGAGTTTGGTACCCGTGCCATGGCAAAGGAATACCCATTTGGTTTATATGATTTAGAACATGCCATCAATCTTTGCATACAGCTGTGTGTTGATAAGGAAATAAATGATTCAAAAACTATTACGAAGCTCTGTTTTTCCATTATTGACGTAAGTATCAGTTCCAGCTGTAAAGTGTTGATGAAAAGAGATGAACCAATAGATTTGCAACCCTCGTTATTTTTTTATTGACAACTTTATATTTCAATCTTCCAATAATTCACTCTTATAAAATTTTCACATGCATTATGATTTCATATTTGAAATCTGTGTGGAATTAATTTTCACAATGTTAACCTTACGAAATTTTACATATGAAATGTGCTGCATTTTATATGTGAAAATGTTCCAATATCGTAACATAATTTCAGATGTGAAATTAGGGACTGGTCATAAAGTAACTGCTAGGGCGGGCTGGAGGTAAATCACAAATTTTGCCAATAAGTTCGATGACCCATCTTAGGATGTAGATAAAAATTTCAAAGCCCTAATCTTTAATCTAATCTTTTATAATAAAAAAACTTATATAATAAAATACACTTTTATAATAAAAAAACTTGCAGGTATGAACACTCATGTATTTACACGGCACTGTATTGACATACATAATTCCACCTTAATTGATACTGAGCTGCTCTCCAGTTTGCTGTGATTCGACCACTTCTTTTTGTTGTATAAATAAAGTACTGGCTTCAATAGCATAATTTGCATTTGATAATTTGGATAGTTTTGTTTAGTTTTATTATTAATATCTTTATTTTTGAAGTAGACATGGGTTTTTGTTTGGTGGCCCAACCATGGACATACAAAAAAAATTGGCGGCCCATCGAAACTGCCCAAAGATTTTCCATGGCTCATCCCAAATCACTCCATGCAGCCCACCCTAGAAATTACTTTATGACCAGTCCCTTATATGCATGATTGTGAAATGCAATATTGTTATAAAAATTATTTAAGTAAACTATCCTGTTATTGAACTTTTAGATCGTTTATGGAGGGAAAATGTCTGAGCAACAGGATCATGAGTACCGGGAGCGCTTAATGAGTCGAATATTTGAGACAGAACAGGAGTCGTCAGTGACAATTGGGGAAATAACATTTCCACTTCCGCCAATGAACGTGGAGCCAAGTGAATATGGACAGTGGTTGAAGGAAAAACTACAGGTCGATGGCCAAGGAGAATTAGCTTTGACCGCGGTACAGCCCGATGGTAGCGTAAAAATGGAGAGTGATGAGTATTGGTAAGTGGTCACAGATCATTATAATGAGGTATAATATATATATATATATATATATATAGCGAGTATTCTTTCGAGCCTTTTCTTTGTTTTGCTTCCAACAGCAATACATTCAGTTCCTCTTCCAACAGGAGATTCGTCTATGACGGCCATCTTGAAATATGAGATGTGCATTATTTTCACGTGCAAACATAATAACATGCAGTCTTAATGGAAAAGATCACTCTTAAACAGACGTGAAAGTTGTACATTAATAATATATATGAAAATAATTAAAGAGGTATATATGTATATGCAACAAATTGTATGAACAATTATAGAAATTTTAAAACATTGGCAATTTTGAGAGGTCCGATGTGCCTATTTTTACGGAAAACGCACGACTTAGAAGAATGTCCCACTTAAATGCTCAAAAAGTTCGTTTAATTTAAATGAGTAAATATGATAATCTATAAACATTGTTTTCTTCCTTCACTTAGTGGTCTTTCAATCGTCAATAATTTGGGTATCCTAAAGTCTGGTTCTCGTGGTCCAGTTATTCATGACCTGATCAACATGACTGCTTTACGTCGTAATTTAGATATGTGCTTAGAACGATTGCCCACCCTCCTCAATCTTGATGCTAAAAAATCTGCTCCTGCAACAATTCTATTACCATCAGTTTTATCTCAGTTACGTGCATTGTCTATAGCCTCGGAAACGAACAGCGTAGTGTCAAGTCGGGACGAAAACTTTCCAGAAACAATGAATTATGCATTACAACAGGCAAGTCATTTAAATTTAAAAAATTATTTTGTGGGAAATTAAAAAAAGCAATTTCATTGCGCTGAACACAGACGCACGCGCTCCGAAAAGCAATTTTTGAATGTCAATTTTCCAAGTGCACCCTCTGCCTTTTGTAATGAAATCACAACTTTCTGGATGCAATGCGGTGCAGACTATATATAATAGGTGCATCAAAGTCTGCACCTGCATTGCACCCAGAATGTTGTGATTACAAAAGTTGTGGTTCCAGCATCGCTGCATGAAAGCAGCGGTGATTTGCATAATTATGTGATAACGTATTTTTGAATGTCAGTTTTCCACAAATCACTTAGGGTCTATATTCTCTACTTCAATGAGTAAAATTTTCAAATATTGTGTAAATATGTATAATTTTTTTAAGGAGTGTGAATGGTTTAATGCAATTCTTTTCCGTATTCGCCAATCCTTATACAACTTGGAAGAGTGTGTTTTACGCGGATCGCATGCTTTGCCTTCATCGATGAATGATGTTGTTATTCCATTGCAATATGGCTTGGTACCATGCGATTGGCTTCATGTGAACTGGCAACCTCCATCACACTCACTTGATTCTTGGTTAGAAGGTAAGAATACCCAACTCCATCCCGCCGAAGTCTGAAATAGGAGCAATAGAGTATTTTTTATCGTCTCTGCACAGTTTAATGACAAGTAATCATGTTTCATTGTGGGCATTAAACCGCAAACGCGTAGCACAAGTCTATTAAATTTTGCAGAACATCTCTTAGGTACTCTCTATGAGTGTAACGTGCAGGGTTTTTATAGTAACAATATAAGCAATATTCTTTATGATTCAAATAAAGAGTACCAATGAAAAGTGTTGGGTATAAGTCACGCTGAAAAACAATCGAATATAGGACCGGTATATGGAGAACGATGGTATTATATAGATCATTAATTTTAAATTGTACTTAAGCGGTATATATAAGCATGTTATTATCGCCCAAACCAAACAACCAAACGATTTTAACCCAACCTATGAACCTGGTTGAATTTTTTTCTAGAATTTCAAAAATGTCATACACAACTAGAGACCTGGATTGGCAAACGCTATGTACCAAATCCAGACCAGGAATTGTCGTTTAGACGTGGTACGCTGAACCAGATCTGGCTTGGAGGGCTCGTTGACCCAGCAGCCCTAGTTGCCTCGTTGAAACATGAAAAAGCAGCTAGCTGTGAATGCTCAATTGAAGATGTAAGTGTTAGTACATTCACTGTAGTTTGAAGAATATGAATTGTAGAAACTAAATTCGATACTAAATCAATAATCCCCGAGCCAACGGCGCGGAGCGCCGTTCCGGGCGTAAGCCCGGGGCGACGGTATACTAATTCCGCACGGCTATTTACACCCGGGGAAACGAAAGCATTAGCGAAGTCTAAAGTTCATCAATGATCGCGGGCGTGGGTAACCAACGGTGGGTGGTCATCCTCACTGATCTCAAAATATGTGGCGGGCTGTCATGAATAGCGAACACTGATTGGTCAAGTTTAAAATTTGTTGTTGTATGACAAATGATGACAGCGAAATAACAAACATTTCTTGCAACTATATATTGTATTTTTGTAAGGTTTTGCAAATTTCAAAACCTTTTTGAGAGCCGAAAACCGTCTAAAAACGTCTAAAAGAATGGAGCAAAGTCGCCGACGTTAATGAAGGTAACTTTGTTTTTAGTATCGCCGTATTGTTTGCTTTATAATTGCTTTAAAAACTGATACGATCCGTTGCGTTTAGTAAAGTGACAATAATTTCAGTGTATTTTTGTATATTAAAATATTTAAATAAAGAGGAAAGCAAAGTTATTTTCATGCAAGAATTTGAAATCAGTTTATTTCAATTTTCAAACTCAATGTTTACCGATAAAAGGCAGTTCAATAAGAACATTTTAAAACGTTTTGCGAAGCGTTTGTGATTGAATTTTACATTAAATTGAAGCTATATATATATCATAACATATATATGTTTGAGGAATTGATCATTTTGTAATTAAAAGTGATATTTGGGGGGGATTTTTCAATTTTCAAACTATTCTTAAGATTATTGTTTTATAATAGTTTTGTTTGTGGAAACACCACGTAAATTTATTACTGCAACCATGACAATACTTGGAAAACATAATGGTTTTGTCAGCAAGGCGAGGGTTTCTGCGTGCATGTATTTTCTAGTTAGAATGTTTTGCTTTTCACCTCGTTCGCCATGAGCTTCTTTAAAAACTTTTTTACAACTCATTGCAACCTGTTGTGATCGTTTTTATCTTAATTGTTAACAAAATCACGACCTTTAAATAACTTAACTTTTTGTAAAGAGCATGTAAGAAGCCAATCATACATAAACATTTATTTTTAGCAGGTAAAATTGTTCATAATAATAATAATAATAATAATGGAAACTTTATTGAAATTATATACGTATATATACAATTATGAATCTCACTAATTTAGGTAATTTATAATTGTCTACTTGAACCTACTTATATATATATATATATATATATATATATATATATATATATATATATATATATATATATATATATATATATATATATATATATATATATATATGTATGTATATGTATATATATATATATATATATATATATATATATATATATATATATATATA